TCTTCTTGTCTATAGTATAAAATGAAGTTTAAAAGTTTTTTCTAATATAAGGCAAAGTTTGAGTAATTAATATTTTTTTAATTTCACCCCTTGTTTTTTATACCGTTGTTTAAATTTCCAGATAACAATTTATTATAATTATTAATGGAAAATAAAAATAAAATTGAAAAGTTACATTTTTTATATAATTTTAAAGTTATAACAAATATTTTTTAAGAAATGCAAAATTGGTTAACTTACTTTACACTAAATACACGAGGAAGTGCATGCTACACACACACACACTTCATCAATCCCGATCCTACGCTACAGATTTTGGATCAGTATAACTATCCGTCTTTGAAATTATCATTATCTACTAAAAATAATAATATTATTATATACTTTTATAGATAAGTTTGAATTTTGATTTAAATATCTGTGTGTATGTGTTGTGTGTTTTCAGTGCTAATTAATTATTAGGCACTGCACAGAGAATTAATCATATGCATTGCATTGTAGTCATGACATAAATATGGATATAAAAAGTCCCGAGTCGTCTCGTCTAAGCTGCTAACTTCATGGATGGTAATTAATTACCTAAAATGCCTTTTGAATTTATATACTGTGCTTTTTATTATTATTATTATTTGAACAGAAAAGTGGCCAGCCATTTGGATGAAGACAGGGCCGCGCATGAGTGAAGGAAATCAGAAATCAATCAGGTATCTAGGTAACTGGCAGATATCCAGCGAGCTCAAGAATTTGATGCAAAACACTAACAATTAACCAATTAATCAATAGACATATAAAATTTGTATAGGACTAAATAAAAAAAAAACAAAACAAATGTGTCTTTACTGGAGGGTGTGGTGATGATGAAAACCTGCAGAGACATACAGAGAAGCTTAAATAGAAAGGAGATTTTGAAAAATGCAATAATTGTATTATTTGGTCGTGTTGTGAACAAAAGAATCAGAATCTCTCTATCAAAGGGTCGCTCTCGAAGTCAAGATGGAGCCATGGAGGTCCCCATATTTTCTCATCCACTAAAATAATCCAAAACCATTTAGCCCTGACATAGACCCACCGTCCTCAATAATTCAATCCAGATGGCCTCTGCATCACTATGTCGTAACAAAACATGGTGCTTTCTTCGTATATATGTAGGCCATAATAATCAATCAAACCCTCCTTACGTTCTTTAATTTCTTCGGAGCCTCCATCTAATCTGTTTAATATCAGTATTTCATAATATATAGTAAGCTACAGTAGTATTTCTTATCCTTGCCCTGCACAAACACACACGCACACACAAAAGGTGCATGTGGATACATATATGAGAAGGTCGTTAAAGATGTAATGAAGAAGAGAGAGTGAAAAGGTTAGAAAGTGATGAAGGCATGATGGGAGGGTAAAATGAAGCAATCACATATGTAAGTTGGAAATAGAAAGAAAAGGATGTTGAGAGGAACAACACATGGGATATCCATGGATGATCTGGAAATGATATTTTGAGAACTGGCCCAAAAGCATCCGTTGGTGTATGTGGAGAAGAAATTTTTGTCTTTCTCTCACGGAAGTATTCCAAGGAGCTTATTTTTGTGGTGACAATTATTTTGTCTGAATCGATCGGTATACTGTAACGGACACTTGTTTGTATCTACGTGTCCAACGGTGGATATACCTATATAGAGAGATGGTCCTTGTTCAGTTGTGGGGCACCATAGACACAGAGGGGTAGTGTTGCACGGGATTGGCACATACTGATCCAGTCAATAATTTCTGAAAGTCTTGCTGCTTAACGTCCATTTCACTCTTCTTTTTCATATAAGTTGCCTTCGATGAAACTCACACTAATTTACAGAATTAGGGGCAAAAACGGTAAAGAGAGATCTTCTCATTGCGCCCATTCAGATTCCAGCAAGTTACAGGGTTACTCATAGCTTGCTTCTAAATCAACTGCTTATATATAATAACATTTTACGTACCTTACAGCAGCTGGAGGTCATCAATGGTCAACGTTCGTGTATTCAATAAATAATTTGTCAGAAATACGAAGTGACTGTTAATATATTACCAGTGTGCAGGAGATGATTGGCATGCATTATTGTACGTTAGATGTTAAAAATGTTTAATATTTATAGTACTTGTGAACCGAGTCATCTGACAACAACAATTGCAGAATCCAAAACATGGAATGCATGAGAAACGTACATCTCCACTGCTTTTGCTTCTTTATTATTTCCGTGGCATGGGAATGAGTCTTCATTTTGTAATTTTGGATTCGTCAGTTTAACTGTCCGTTAGGGTCGATACCCTCTTAATCTCATTTCTCGATCCGTTTAGTTCTTGGCTTGGGACACCTGTCAACGGCTGATTGTTGTACAAACGAATTAAACTCATGTAATTTCCCATATATATGATCCAAACAGGACAACATTGACAATTTCGTCCCTTTCCCCATTTCATATGTCCAAAGCAGATATCTGCAAGAGTAATAATGAGACGGAGCTTGGGATATTAATGAAGTGCATATCAGTATACTAGGTTCTATTGTATTTCATTTTGGTTAAAATTAACATAGAAAAGCCTTGTACGTAGCAATCAAATTAAGTCTGAAGAATGTGGTCGCATGTTGTTTTTGAATAACGGTATATATCAACTTCTGCGGACCTATTATGCAACTTCAAATTCGGGAGAGTCAGATCATCACAAGAGGTGTTTTTTTTTTTAAAAAAAAAAAAGGAAGTGAGAGTTAAAAACGAACCTGGCGCAAGGTATGGGAAAATATCAATAAAGACCCTTTAATCAAATTTATTTTGAATTAAAGCCTCTAAATTTATGAAATATCACTACAATCCAGGAGTCTCGATTTAATATTAAATTTTTGAGAAAAATGATAAAATTGCCTCACATTAAGTTAATATCAAAACTATTATATTTTATTTATTTATTTACGGAATGTTATTTATTGTCATATTTCACTTGATTTTATTCCAAGTATTTAAATTATTTTAAAACAACTTTTTTGTTCGCGTATTGTATGGTATTTATTTACTTATAAATTATTATTTATTGCTCTATTTTTACTTAATTTCATTCCAAAGAAATGATCAAGTGAAGTAAAATAATTAACATCATTTCACAAATAAATGAATAAGTGAAGTAGGGCAATGATCAAGTAAAATGCAATAGTTTTAATATTAATATAAACGAGAGATAATTTTATCATTTTATTATAAATTTAATATCAAATCAAAATCCCTGAACTATAGTAATATTTTAAAAATTTAGGGGTTTTGATGTAAAATAAGTCTATAGAAGGGAACTTTATTGATATTTCCCACAAGTTATTCATGTAGTAAAAAGGAGCCAAGGTGTTTTTTTCCCCCTTTTTTTGGGGGTGGGGGGAGCGCGAGGATCCCACAAGTCCCTTTCCGTCCGCGAGTGTTTGTTTGGTTGCTATTTACGGTAAAAAAAAAAAAAAAGGCACTCAACAAGGAATCAGTGGGACGCGTTGTTAAGGGAACCTTGTTAATTTTAGCTTCTTTCCCTTCTTCAAAAAAAAAAAGAAAAAAGAAAAAGGACAACAAAACACCACAGTGGGGGGACGCAAGGGAGAAAATGAGTGGACACTCATTGCATTTTCTCCATTTTTTTCTTTGAAAGAATCATTTACTCAAACTTCATATAATATCTAAAATATTCATAACTAAACGCATCTTTCCATAAATTGAAGGAACCGAAGCAGCACATGAGTTATAAATATTATAGTAATTCTTCTATTTTAAATTATAAAACAATTTGAGAAGAATTTTTTATCTCAAAATATAAAATTGTCTGAGAAAAATAAGGCTTAATTAAATATCTTTTCAGTATTACCCTTCAAATAAAGAGAGAATTAAAATGATGTTATAGCGTAATGATTAAATTTGTAGTGGTATTTTTAAAAGTTTATAATTTTGTTATAAAAAACTAAGTTTGTAAAATATCATTAATGTATTTTATTGGTATGGTAATCTTGTCTCAACGGAGGAGTAATGTATTTAATTTTATCATACACACACATATTGATATATTGAGGAGCTGGCAAAAAATGGATATATTGATTGATTTTGAAAAATATTGTCTACAAAACAAAAATAAATGAATGAATGAATACTGTCTAGAAATAAGCAACCTAATGATATTGTACTCTCTCGGCCCACATTCCCAGCCCACAGTTGTAATGAGGAGGTTGTGTTCGTGGACATTTCATAGTACTCTGTTGTTCAAGGCCCAAACCCAAGAAACTATTCATTACCAAATCCAACTCACCACCATGGCACCAAGATTCCGCCTCACTGTCAAATATCGTTATTATAAAATTAGTTTTCTCATAAGAAAAACAGGATATTAAAAGCTTTCCAGAAAAATATGGTTGATGGAAAAGTTGACATTTATATTGAAACATGTAATTGAAATTTCCCATTAAAAGATTGAGGAGAAAATGGTTAGATAGAAGGAGACATGCACGGGCAATTATTATGATTAAGCTATTTAATAAATGGAGAATTGAAGATAGAAATAGATGCTGCATTAATATAGAAAATAAAATACTTTTTACATAATAATACTCCCGCTTTCTTGTCTTAATTATAGGATACGCCTTTTATTTAATTCACAATTATTTTAAAAAAAATTAAGTTAATTATTTGCAATTAATATGTGAAATACTTTGAAAAACGTGATGAATATGATAGATGGAAGAAGTTGATATAATCTTAAATTAAAAATGAAACCAAAATTCTTAACAAGCTCTTACCTTTGACAATGGAGTGTCCATCTAATTCTAAATAAATAAATAAATATAAAATCCGTTTAAAAGTTTTGATTTAAAAGAGGTCAGGTTCAAGATGGACAGGCCGAACAAAAAAGTCGAACGTGGGAAGACAGAGATGGCGTTGGCGAACAAGTCAGCGGGAGGGCAATGAAGGTGAGAAGGAAACTTCGAGAACGAAGTGCTCAAATGGCCAATTTACAATCCATAAGTAATGAGGAAACGTGGTGCGTAATGGGTGGGGTTTTAGGGATTTTGAATGAAGAAAATTTCGTAAATGGCGGTGGTTGACCCCTCATTTTAATTAATTTTGTAATAACAGTGGACGCCGTCCACACGCAATTCTACCAATCTCACCCCTCCCATATACACAATCTCGGATTGAGAGCAGAGAGAATCGGATCCGAAACAAGAAAAGCAGAGAGAGATCGCAGAATGGGGGAATGCAGGCCATTGGGGTTCCTGATAGGATTGCCTTTCGCTCTTATTGCTCTCGTTTTAGCGGCTGTGGGCGCTGTTATCTGGATTCTTGGGTATCTACTATCCAATATTTCCTCTTCTTTCTTCCCACCCTTCTCTCTTCCCTTTTCCAATTTAGTCGGCTTCGTCTTCTTCGTTTTTCCTTCTGATCATGATCAACATTTAAGAAAATAAATCTGCCTCCAATCTATTTATTCATCTTCAAGAATCAGTCACGTCTTGATCTCGAGTCTAACGGGTTCTTCACTACAACTTGTATCTAGTTGTGGTTTCATATAGTAGCGCCTTTTGTTTTCCTCTGTTCCTTTCTTTGTTTATTTTTCATGCGTTATTTGCTGAGAACATATTTTTGTTGATGAACGCAGGAGTATATTGAGTTGCATATGTCCGTGTTGCTTCTGTTGCAGTGCGTTGGCTAATTTGGCTATGAAACTGATACGGCTTCCAGTTAAAATCATCAGATGGTTCACTGATCAAATTCCTTGCTAGACTTGACATAATCTTCTCGTTTGTTGATTTTATATCGTGTATTTCCCATCGTGATTACTTTAATAGCTAATACTGCTTCCGTGTTCTTCAATGGCTCCTCTCTCTGTTTTCCCTTTCGCTTTTCTTAAATTGCTGTTTTTATTTATGTCCAAACATGGTGGCATTGAAAATTATAGGCTAAACGCGAGTGATTAGTTTTCGCATTGCGCCTGGAATAACTTGATGATTTTTTATAAAATGAGTGCGATTGAATTTTGATCTTTGGGTTTTTCCCTCTTAAACCAGAGTCAACGGACTCTAAATAACTAAGTAAGAACTTTTTGCTCAAATAAAAAAAACTAATTAAATACTTATTAAATTGAATTAATTATCAATTAATATATTAAAATTCATTCTAGCAGGCTCTTAATATCGATAAATACTTGAATTTGGTTTCTTTTCTTTTTTTTCCACTTCCTATCTCAACCATTGAATTTATTGTTGAATGGTTGAGATTTAAAATATAACTAATTTAATATTTATTATTAAATGGTTGAGATTTAAATAATCTAAACTAAAATTTAAGATTTAAAATTATAATTTAAAAATAAAAAATTTAATTTTATGAAACATTAAATTTTAAAAAAAGGGCTCAATAATTCATATGATAAGTGAGAAATAAATAAAAATAAAGAGGAAATGGAGAAAATTCAAGTTCTAAACGCTCCGCCTCATCTATTTCAATTGAACCGACCATTGCGCGTGAGTTGTGACAAAAATCTATTTTTTTGGGTAAATATAGAAATCTGGTTTAAATTTGGTGGATCATGCATCATTTGGTTGGAAAAAAGTCAAAAACAGTTTTTATATCGTCAGGGCTTGGGCCTTCCCAAAGTGCACTCACAAGTCACAACCCAAGCTTTATTGTTTGTGTGAAAGGGTACGGCTGAGCCCAAAAGGTCTGGTAGCATAAAAAGAAGTCGGTATTCGGTGTTCATCATAGTAATAAAACATCACGTGCTCATCAAAGTCAGAAATAATCTTAACTCTTTATTTCAGTTTTATTTGATTCCTATCGTTCATTTAAATTAATTTTTTAAATATTTTTAATATTATATTTATTAAAATAAAAAATATATAAAAATTAATATTAAATTTAGACTATTTAGAATACATTTAAATGATTAATTTATAAATTTTTTAATATTAAATTAAATCATCTAAATTATACCTGAACTGTACAGAGTCTATTTGTATAGTCAAATTATAAAATTACAATTTTTTTAATATTAAATTGGATTGTTAGATTCAATATGTACTGACCAAATCAATAATAAACAGATATATTAAAATTTTAAAATTTTTATGTTTTTTATATTTATAAATATAATATTAAAAATATTTTAAAAAATTCATTTTAAATGGACGATAGATATCAAATAAAGTTGAAATAGAGGGCCAAGATCCTTCCTAACCTGCATGAGGTGCTCGTCACAAATGATGAGCACTGAATGTAGTTCCCATAAAAAGACATGCATTTTGTGAAAGGCTACACCTATTCAGGCCAAGGCTTTTAACGTGTTCTTTTTTAATGTCTTTTTTAATGTTTCAATTTTTCAATTTTGTTTTTTTCATTCATTAGCTTTTATATAAAATAAAAAATATTTTAATATCTTCATATCTCAAGATATAAAAATTTATATTTTTTATGATTTTTCTAAGATAAAAGGATATAATTATAATATTTTTTTTAAAAAATATAGAAAATATAAATTTTTACTGTTTTGAAACTTTAAAATATCCAAATGTCTTTTATTTTATATAGAATTCAATGATCTAAAAAAGAAAAGAAAAGTTGGGGCATGGCAAGAGAAGATTACATTAGATGCCCTTAACCTGACCTGTTCAAGGTTATTAATTATCTGATTTGTCTCACTTGTAATCAAGTTTATAATGAACACACGTATTCGTGATGAATTATTTCTTTGTTTTTTAAATGGCTTGTCAACTTCTTATATCTAAAGGGGAAAATCTAGAATAGCGCGCAGGTCAACATTCATACCTAAAAGCTTAATTAACGATTATTTATTAGGATCCTGTAATTGTTGGATAAAAGAAAAGTATAACATGTAAACAAATCAAGGATTATAAAATCCAGTGACAAATATCTTACAAATGAAGTGGATTTATAAAGAGAGACAATAATGTTATTAAGACAGCATATGATAGTTCTCATAATCTGAATGGTTAGGTCCGTCTCTCTAACGAACCACGGGTCAAAAGATTATTTTAATCAGCAATAAAAAGTGAAAGTACCGCAGCATCGATCATGCAATTTAAAGAGGAGAAATTATCCAAATGGGAGTTGTATAATTAGAGCATAGAATGGCAATTACGAGTTACAACAATCAATTAATTAGAACAAATATGAGGGAAAAAAATAAATTAATCACGAGAGAGAGGGAAGCCAATCCCATGGCGTTTCGTGGGGAATATGATGAACAGAAAACTGCAAAGCAAGCCAATCCCAACAGGCAAAGTGACGAGAAGGTCTCTTTCCTCGTCGGAAGGGTTAGGTTCAAAGCACATGACCACGTTCTTATCGAGCATGGCAACAGCGAAAAACACCAGAATGGAAGCACATGCATGGAAGAAATCAATCGAGTTTAGCCTGAACTTAGCTGCCTCTTGAGCCGAAAGCTTCGCCGACCCGTCGATGACCCAAAGCCCATTCCACGTAGCAAACCCGTATCGAACTTTCCCCCTTTCGTCCCTGAAGCTGTCGGTGAAACTCAGAAGGAAGCACGACATGCTACACATGGCTAAGAGGCAGGCCGTCATGGTTTGGCTCGTGTGCGTCTTGCACTGGCCCTGGTGCGTCACGATGGGTGACAGAATCTGAAATGCCAGGACGCTTCCTGTGGGAAGGAGATTGGACAGATTTGCCGTGCTTTTGAACGTCTTTCTTATCACCTTCTGAGTAGGCGTTTTGGGTTGTTTTAATAATGGGGCGTTTTCCAGAAGAGGTTGCTGAGATTCTTGAGTGTTTACAATCACCTCCATGGTTGACGATGATCAAGAGTTTCTGCTTTTCCCCCCTCAATTCTCTTGTTCTCGAGATTTGTGTGCTGATCTGCTCTGGAAGCCTGGTATATTAATATAAGAAGGAGGCTATAAATTAGGACGGAGAGCACGAAATGTGGGGTTCGGGTCGGTTTTCTGTTTGAGTGAGGATTATTCTTTGGTTGGAGGTTGTTATTTGTTGGTACCATGTTATGAAATTGGGGAGGAATGTGGTAACTCATGGAAATACAGTAACGTTATGACTTGGCTGATATGTTTTATGTGGGAATTGAAGGAGGTTAATTTGCTTTAATTAGGCAAGGTTTTCATCTTTTGTTTAATTCATTTTTGAAAGCTAGTTTAATTTTGCTTTCCGGTAATTGGATTGTTTGTTGCCCTCCGGCCCCTGGCGATTCTTGTTTTCATAATCCTAATATCAATCAATTTGTAGGTAGAATATATACTCCTCATTTTTTTTAACTTCAAGATTATTCATTAAAAAACATTAATTACTATCTTTTAAATATATATTTATTTCCAATTACTAATATAAGTTAAAGATATGAAAGTTGAAAAAAATTCTGACATATTAATTATATCTATTAATTGATTTACTGAAATCTTGAACAGCAGAAGAAATAAAAATAAATTGAAGAGGTATAATGAGCCAGGTGTGGGGAACAAAACGATGGAACAACGTGAATAGTGAAAATCATGGAGCTCTTTTTCTTTCCCCAGACGTGAGGAATCCCAAATATATAACTTGGGAAAGACCTCACAGACACTCTGAAATTTATCCCATTTTTTTCATCTTATTAGTAATTAAATTAATGATTCAGTCTCTGAAAGATAATTAGTCTCTCAAATTTGTCTCGCGTGACAAAATCTTCAACTGACACAAGTAGTTCATCTGTAAGGGACAACTTTGTGGCCACTTGACCCCTTTTTTGCCCCTCCTTAGTCGACACAAATAAATATATTTATACGTACACTGCATACATAAGTTATAACCAATATGCATATACCTTCAATTTTTGATACTGCCGGCGACAAGCCTCCCATTTAGTTTGATTAAAACTTTAAATGCTTCAAAAACGCCAAAAAGAGTATTCGAATATTTCCGTCCTTTTCTCTTTCCAGTTGATAATGAATTAATGATGATGCAAAGCAAATATATAGGGGCTAGCTGCCTAAGCTTGTATAATGAAATAAATGCGTGCCTTTACATATGGATGTGGTTCTTTCCATTCTTAGGAAGAACATCTTAAACTATGGGTCCCATCTCCAGCCATGAATCATCGCAAACATTCTTATGCGTTCACTTGTGACTTTGCGTTACGCATTGTGCGAGTGTGAGACACTATCTATTTCTTATGCATTCATTATTATTTAATTAGCTACCCAGACGTCTTGTTAAATATTATTACCCCTAAATTTAGGAGATAGTTAACAAATTCACACTTACTAGAAAATTAAGTAAGTTTAGTTATTTGCAAAAAAAAAAATTATGTGCCGGTTTTTCTAAATTAAAATACCATTCCTTTTAATATATAATTTACATCGCGGAGTATTATCAACATAACTTATAATCTGAGAATCTATTTATGGGGATAGTTGAGGAAATAATAATAAACATGGGAGACAGAGGAATTTAATTGAAGAAAGTAACTCCCAACTATTATATTTAGGATGGAAAGAGTTCTAAAATATTACACATTTTATAATTCAAATTTAATATTGCTGCATCTTCTCATCATGTGTCACTTTATGTTTGAAAATTCTAATCCACAGTCTAAAAGCTTACTAATGTAGTTCTCACAATCTATGATCATCATATACATGTTTAATGAATTGTGATCTGTATATTTCTTGTTATAGCATATATATGTACTTTTGAATCGAATATTCTTCCCGTGATAATATCAATATATATAATGTTGAAACTACATGGTTCTCTCTCACCTTCATTGTACGTGATAAAGTTATATTGATACATATATATACACAATATATATATATATATATATATTTATAATCCAAACTTATATCAATATAGATATAAACTATGTATCCTCATCGTCGCGCCTGATTGCCTATGTCAGACTCTCTAGGCTCTTCTCTCTTCTTGGCCCAGTTGGATTCTCTGCTCCTATTTTAGGTGGTGCTGTCCAGGTTCATTACAGATATATTTATTTTGAAAACAAACGAATGAATGTGTGCTAAAGATGCAAGAAAACATGTAAAACTGTAACTTTTCACTGAACATGCATTTCACCGTACCATTTGATAATGCTAATAATTTTTTATTTATTTAATGAGTTCGAGTCTAAGACATATGATTAACTTTACGAGCCTGGTCATGAAAAAAATGTATATCCACCAACAAATAAAATCCCAATAATAAGCAGCAAAAATAGAGAATGCAGGGTCGACAGATTTCTTTCAAACTTGGTGAAGCTCATGATATTGCGAAATCTTTTTGGTAGATATAGATCAAGTATACATGTGGCGTGGAGATGTGTAGAGTATGATCTTAAGGAAAAAAGAATAAATATGGGATTCCAGTTCTTAATTAAATATTGTCTCTTTCCTTCACCAAGTATTGACACATTATTAAGTTTTCCTTTACCATATGGCAACAGATAACATGCCTTGAGAACCATTGTTGACATCAAGGAATTAGGATTGTCAAAATAAACTCGACAAGAGAGAGAAAGAGAGACAAAGAGGTTTCTTGCTATGCATGAAAAGTCTACGTGAAGGAATGGAATTTCTGGTTGGCTCAAACATATATGGCCTAAATATATATTAATTTTTTTCTTCCATTTTCTCATTATCAGTTATGGTATTTATATCGTTTAGCTTTATCTACACTCCAGGGTGACTTGGGACCTAAATTCTCACCCTGTGCCTTGCGTTTTATACATCAGGTTGCCCCAATCCCACTCAACTCTCTTCCACATATATCTTATTTGTTTCTTTTCAAGTTAAAATTGCAAGTCTTGTTTTTTTGGAAAATTCATTAAAGCTGCCTTTAGTCAGAGTAAAAAAGGACAAAAACCTACATTTATTCTTCTACAAGTTTTCATACAAACACACACACACACAAAGCGCACAACTTAACTTGAGATCAAAGCAAGCTTATATTATTTCCTTTTTCTTTATTCTCTATATCTGCAACTAACCCAGTCTCTCATTGTTTAATGTTTCATTCTTTGTTTAGTTTTCAGGTCTTTTCTTCTTTCTGGTAAGAGCAAAGGAGGTTGGGAAGATCACTTAGTGAGTGATGCAAAAGAATTAAAGCGCTTAAAAGTGAGAGAGAATTTAATTCCTTCCCACTCCTAAACATGAAGTAGCAAGGGGGGGGCCAAAATTTTATAAGAGGCAAGTTTCCCCTTTTTGTCCCCTCTACTGTTACTTTTATATATCCTCTTAATCATTCTCTTCTTTTCCGATCTTCGCTGCCTCTCTCTAGCCATTTCCATATTTTTTAGCACCATCAGATCAAATCCAGGCAGTAGTGGAATGTGTGGTTTTTAGAAGGTTACGAGGAAATGACTCAGTGCAATGACTCTGAAAATAGTCGTCACAGCAATATCATCGAGGACAAACGCAAGGACAGCTTAATTACGACGTGCCCTTCCTGCGGACATCATATCAAATGCCACGAACAGGTTCCTATATATGCATAACTCATGGTTCCTTCCTTATATATAACATATCGCCACTCTTGATCTGTATATTTTTGTTTAGATATAATTAATTACATATATATTAAACTTGTTATTATAGGCTGGGATCCATGACTTGCCTGGACTGCCTGCTGGAGTGAAGTTTGATCCAACAGATCAAGAGATTCTTGAACATTTGGAGGCCAAAGTTCGATCTGATATTCATAAGCTTCATCCACTAATCGATGAGTTCATCCCCACTCTTGAAGGCGAGAATGGAATCTGCTATACTCATCCTGAGAAGCTACCAGGTCATGCATGCTTATATCTGCTTTCACTTTTTTTGAACTCCGCACTCTCGTATCTGATTTGCAAGATTTTTCCATTGTTAAATAAAATAAGTTGCTCGTCAGAAGCTGGTTTGTTTTTAGACTTGAGAAAATGAAAAAGATCATCTTTCGTTGAACCAGCACTTATGGAAGAATGAAATCTGCTTTACTATCCCAAAAATCCATGTTTTGTGAGACCAATTTTTATTTTTTCCGAGGACTGCTACACTCATGTCTGAAGTTGATGTTCTTAGACTTGAGTTCATGAAAAAATGATTCGTTGATGAACACTTGTGGTAGAAGAGGCGACCATTTAATCGCACCCTGTTATCCCTATATATCTCTCCGTATTTGGATGAAAACCTTGCAACCAACCTTGCTATTACGAGGCACCTAACTATTGTACTTCCCACCTTTTCCTTTTTCTCAATTATTGTCAAACAGCCCTTCATTACAATTTCATCTAATTAATAATGACTACCAAACCAAATATATTAATTGATAGTTAATATCACCTGGAATAGATAATATGATACGTGATACAGTGTCAACGTGCTGAAGTGAGTCGAAAATACAAACATGTTGTGCATTAATTAATATATGAATATGCTTTAACTGCAGGAGTAAGCAAAGACGGTCTGGTCCGCCATTTCTTTCACAGGCCATCGAAAGCATACACGACAGGGACGAGGAAAAGGAGGAAGGTGCACACTGATGAAGTGGACGGCAGCGAGACACGCTGGCACAAGACGGGAAAGACGAGGCCAGTGTATCTGAGCGGGAAGCTAGTAGGGTACAAGAAGATTCTGGTGCTGTACACGAACTATGGGAAGCAAAGAAAGCCCGAGAAGACGAACTGGGTGATGCACCAGTACCACCTGGGGTATAACGAAGAGGAGAAAGAAGGAGAGTTAGTGGTGTCCAAGGTTTTCTATCAAACACAACCCAGGCAATGTGGTTCCTTGCTCATGAAAGATCAGCAGTCATCCGTTAAGCCTGCAAAGCTCAAGGCCCAAGCCATGTACGAGGCTGCCAACAATCATAAGAGCAATAATGGCTATGTCGAGTTCTACAGTTCTTCCTTCTTGTCCTTCGATCAAGGGGGCCAGCACAGGTCTGGTAATTCTCAAGTGATCTCCCACTTTCCTGTCCAGGACGGTTCTTCCTTCAATATTCCTTGACCTCGAAGGAGACGGTGCTACAGGGAAATGCATGGAAAAATATATATATATATATGTATGTATGTATGTATGTAGGCGTTCATAATTTCACATATGATACGGAAGTAATACGATATTATTACTACGCAAAGAAGGAAATAAGTTAATGACCAAGTTTAGTTAATTAGGAGGGCAAAAGATGGGAAAGAATAAAGAGAGCTACTGCTTCATCTGACCAGGAAAAAAGAGAAGAGCGGCGTGAGGAGGAGGAGGAGGAAGGAGGAGGAGATCCAGATGGTACTGTGACCTTTTTGGTTGATTTTATTTTATTTTTGATGTCATCTGCATCATGATTTGTACAGTGTCAGAGAAACATAAAGCGTGTAAACTGAAAACTAATTACTAGCAAGCTGTACAAACATGACTTTTTAGCCTGAGCAGTATATGCATGTGCCTTTTAATTAATTGGAAGTATGAAATGAATTTATATGTGATATTTAATTTATTATCTAGAAAATCCAAATAATGTATGCTGTCCGCAGAAAATTAAGGAGATTTTGGCCCAATTAAGGTTGAATCGTTGGTGGGAACCGAAAAGAATGCTTGGAAGGATCACCGACTTCACAAAAAACGCAAAAATATTTAGATAGCAACGGCGTGGTTTTACTAGAGAGACGCCATGGCAATTATTGATCGTTTTTCTTCACAAAACGCTAAACGAAGCAAATATAAAAGCAAGATTCTGGTGCTCGTAGGAGTCGTAGTGAAAACTCTGTTCTTTGTACTGAAGCCTTTTAAAAAAGCAAAAAAAAAAAAAGAAAAAATATTGTGGAGATTACGCGGAAGCAAAGAATATTGCCTCTCTTTGATTATATTTCTCTTCTCTATCGTTACAGATCCTAGTGAACATTGCTGTAGCTCTGAAGTCTTAATGGTAGCATAATATTATTAAAGTACTTTAAATTAATTATTCAAAGAAATTATAATTCGAATTTAACTTGGGCAGTTGTAGGAGCCGAATTGTAAAATCGAAAGAAACAAGAATGCGAAACGGGAACAAAGGCTTGTTGGTCTTGATGGACAATCATCGTATGACCTAACCAATAATCTTACTCAAGGGCAAATAAATAAAATCATTAAAGGCACACACGTTGTTGAACCAAAAAAGAGGTAATAATGGAGGACAATTTTACAAATCACATGCCCCACTCACCATGCCCTAATGTATCCTAAAGTGAAAACAAAATCGAAGAGTTGGTATGGCAAATAAGGGCCTGTTCGTTTTCTATTTTAAAAAATTATTTTTTTGTTTTTGAAAATAGAACAATTAAAAAACTTGTTTGGATAATTGTTTTTCACTTAATAATTTTTAAAATTGTTTTCATTTTTTATTTTACAAACAAACAAATAAAATTTTCTTATTTTTAAAATACATTACATTTATTTATTAAAAATTATAGTTACATTGACTAACTTCTATTATTAATCATCACTACTAATTATCTATAATCATTACTATATCTTAAAAATTTTAAGATTATTTTTTTATTGACGTAACCAAATATATTTTTAATTTATTTTGTTTTAAAAAAATGGTTTTAAAAATTATATTACAAAATAATTTTTAAAAATAAAAAATGAAAACAGAAACCAAACATGTCCTAAGGCTGCGGAAAATGCCTCCTCCCCCTTACTTTTGTTTTATAAATTCTTTTCGTTCGTACAGGCACTTTTCTTTTTGTACGCTTTGATTCATATACAACCCAACTCAGCATGCCAGGAAACTAATTCTCAAGAAATTTAACGATTACTTTATCTTGTAAAAAAAATTAAATGCTTAAAACGTAAGAGCATTTTATGCTAATTAGTTGGAGGCATCATGACAAATATTTGCCATTCTTGTCACTCGGGAAAAATAAAATTAAAAAAAGGAAATGGGATATTTTCATATAAAGATAGCTGACAAATTTATGCTAGCTATAGCCAGAGATGTTAATTCTGATATATAATTCAAAATTTCTCCGCTTATTTTTTTTTCTCATATTATTATAGTGTAAAATTGTTTGAATTAAATTTTATCATTCTAGATTTACTTATAATTCATTTAAAATTTAACATCTTGATAATATTTGTATAAAATATCAAATCTGATCTGTACAATATAAATTTTTCAGAAATGAAAGACGAGATAAAAATGGAGAGAAGCCCCCTATTTATAGCCAGAGGTGAATTTTAATATTCAACAGGTAGATATTTTGTTTTTATTCGACAGGCTGAAATTCTAGTCAAGTTACTGGAATTATGCATAAATTTTCTGTTTTTATATGTTGACTAAACAAGAAAAAGAGGAATGGCTGCAGTAAACGTTGGCACCACTATACATAAATGGAGTGGTATATCGGCAAGCTCTCAAATAAATTTAAAAAAAATTAGGACTGAATTTAACAAAATAGTACTTCCTCAATGCCGTAATATAAATCATACTTAACTAATTTATAATTTATAAATAATATTAGTTAAAACTTTAAATTATTAAAAATATCAATATCTTTTTATTTATACCTTCGTTAAATACTCTATATAAAAATCTTGATGATAGTAATTAAAATTATAATGTATGATTTTTTTTTTAAAAAGGATCATAAATGAAGTAGTAATATGGTTGAAAAAAATAAATGTAAAGCAAGATTTTTAAAAGGTGCTTTATATTATAGTTTAGAGGAAATATATTTTTCATGTTTAGGACTATTTTAGCCAGCCCAAATAGACCAAATAGCATTTTATCCTTTTTAAGTCTTTAATTAATTCTTTAAGTCTTTGTTCATTGTATAGTGAGAGACTATATATTTGTGTATATTATTTTAGATTTTTTTTTATTTTTAATCTATAAAAATATCTTAAAATAATATTCAAAATATATCTTGATTTTTAAATTTTAAGATCTACAATTTTTTCTAAGAAAATTCTAAGCATTCTTTGTTCTTCTAGTATCTCAAAAAATATATTTTAAACTAAAAATTGAAATTTATTTTTTAAAAATTAAAAAATTGACAATTTAAATATTTGGGTTAGCCTTATAAATCAAAGTTCAAAATTGTTAAGATAGGGCCTAGTTGTATGGATATATATATTTTTTTAAATAAGTTCAGCCCGCTCAAACTATTAACTCTCTATATATAAAGGTGAAAAATATTTACTATGATTAACTGTGTTAACATGGAAAAATATGTAGGTAAAAAATAAGAATTTGGAATGCTTTATAAAGAGGATGAGAGATAGCTATTTAAAAAGAGAATGGCAATTATGTTTCAAAGATTAGTTTAACTATAGTTAGGTCTCTGAATTTTTTTTAAAAATAAGTTATAAATATTGATCCAACTAATTATAAATCAATAAGTCTCAATTATAAATGAGGTATTTAAATTTTAAATGTAATTTTTAGATTGCAACTGAGAATTCTGGTTGCTTGTAACTTCTAAATTTTATCAAAAAATTAATTGTCATTAAATTAATTTTTTAAGACAACTATCATTTTCTCACTAGAAAAAGATACCCTCAATAAAGTAGTACTTACTTTTAGACGAATCATATCTTTTTATATTTATTCTTATTAAATACCCTATAATAAATATAAAATCATTTATTAATAGAGCTATTTTTTAAAAAAGACAATGCTTACATTTCGAAAGATTAAAAATGTCTTATATTTTTAAATATTTAACTTTTTAAAATATCTTATATTTTTAAATAGAGGGAGTAGCTATGATATTTTCTCACTGATTCTCACTCCTAGAAGTTTTATTAGGATAGATTCGTTAAAAATTTAATGACTCAGCAATAATGATTTTACAAAATAGTATTAAGTTTAAACTTTAAACCGATATGAAAAATATAAATATAAATTTGAGGGGGAGAAGAGAGAGATCATAGAGAGAAATTAAATGAGAAAAATGGATGATTAATTTGCAAATGACGAAAGTGGAAGAGGGAAACTTGTAACGTTGGCACAGTGGAGACGAAGGGGTCCAAAAGCTGCCCACTTTGTAGAAGTGGCCATCTTTCAGCATTCGAAAGAATATGCGTGCCCCTTGCTTTTCGCCCGCCACACCTTTTCCCTCATTCTTCATCCAACCCTTCTCCTTTTCTTTCTCAAACCACTCATCATTATCACCTTCCCTAAATATCTTAATCTCTTTCAACTAATTACATATGCAACGACACCACCCCTTCAGATTAGATGTGCATCATCGTATTTAGTGTTTCATTTAAGTCCATTTTCAAAATGTTCTGTCGTCCCGTCTTATGCTTCAAATCCATCCGTTCATTGGAGCTGGATGGCAAATGGATTCTACGCCCACGCCCAGAAAATCCCTCGTTTGCTCTCCCCCCTTATTCTCTTCATTCTGCTGTCTTTTCCTGCGTTTTGCTGGGTTCTCTGTCTCGCTTCCCAGGGTACTCACCGTTACTGAACCTGAACCGTACAGTCCGCAGAATTTGTTCCCATCCTTTTCTTGATTGCTGCTGCATTTCAACCCTAAGGTTCCCAGGAATGACGTGTCGGTTGAAGTTGCCCCTATTTGGGTGGCTTTCTGCAACAAAGCCGTGGCCGACATGTTTGCCGACGATGTTTGACGGGATTGCTGATGTTGGGAGCTGTACAGGGAAGGAACGCTGATCAGCTGATCTTGATGATGACTAACGTTCTTGTTATTACTCCCAAACACCCAATTCGGCTGAGGATTTGACCATGAAACAAGCGGGTTGTTCCCGTATAGTATTGATCCTGATGATGATGAGCTAGTGATGACTGACCCGAGTTGATGAATCTCAAACGGTTTATTGATATTACTGCTCAAATTATTGGCTACTGTGTCATGAGCTCGAGGGCCTTGAGTTCGGGTCGGACCCATCCATAGAGATAGCCCCATGGGTGCTTGATGATTTGTTTCGGCAACTGTGTTTGAGATTGGCTGGAAAATTGAAGGAAAATGTGGGGTCATGCCATGCCCTTGGGAATTTCCCATGATGTTGTAACCCAGCAGAGAGTTGTTCACTGTAGATTCTGCATTAACTCTTGCTGTCTCTTCTGCCAAGGCGTCGCAGAATGCCCTGTGGGTTATGAAACTGTCTCTCCTGCTCAACCAAAATTCATTAATTAACGCAAGCTAGCTAGCTAATTAACTAAATATCCAAAGAGGCAGCTAGGCGTGCACCTAGAAGATTCTTTCTACTTAAGTTTAAACGTGATTGACATGTTGCCAGACCACGCATAATGACTTACTCGTGCCCAATAGGGGTCAGACCTAGGTCTCAGTCTTGAAAAAATTAACAAGCAAATAAATTATTAGACAATTAAGGGTCGAATTACTCTAAAACTAATTAAGCAATAATCGCCATTAACTAGATAACCTCACTAAAAAAACTTGTCTGTCTTCTATCGAGATTTCCGTCTGCTCTAAGAGTCCTCATCTCCATTTACTGCTAAAAGCCAAACTGATAGCAAGTACCCAGATACGCACAATCCCTCAGGCCTCTCTCTCTCTCTCTCACACACACACACAGAGATGGCGGTTGATTAGGGACAACGATATCATTTTGTCTTTATTTTTATTTAACTTGTTTTCATGAAGGAACTGTGATGTGATGCACTATATACTTCTGTGATTCTAGACAAGCCACCACTTTTTGCACAGAATTGATGTAACATAAGAATCAGACTTCATCATGAGCGAGTGGTATGAGGAATTATTACCGTGAAAAGATAGTCCCGCAATCACATTTGTATTCTCTGGTGCCGCAGGTCTTAGAGTGGGCTTTCCAGTCTGACTGGACAGCATATCGCTTTGAGCACTTCTCGCACTTCCACTTCTTCTCACCATGCTTTCTGCAAAAGTGCTTCTTTATCCCTGTTAAGTCTCCCAGTGCCCTTGAAGGGTCGTGGTGGACACACGTCTTCTCAGGGCAAACATACACTCTCTTCCTTGGTTCTTTGCTTGTCCTCTGCTTCAGCTTCCATGGAAGATTGTGTCCTCTTCGATGCAGCTGAAGATTTTGATCCCGTTGGAAACCTTTCCCACAGATTTCGCACAAGAATCTGTTGGTGGCCATCAAAGTCTTCGGCGATAAGGCTATGACCTCTGCCTCAGGATCTGTGATTACAAGATGAATCTGATCATGATAAATTATCGTTGTGTTTCATAAATGAACAATTGACTTTTGAATATATATACTTCTGATACAAAAGCTAATTAAAGAGATCAGACTGCCGATGAGAAAGAGAATAAAGCTTGCCTGGATTTCCTGGGAGGTTTCTCTTCCTCTTCAAAACAGGAGGGTTATTATTAGAAGATGCAAGATGATCAGTTGGATTCGGATGACGGAAACCACTTGAAATTTCTACATCATCCATCTTTTGTTGCAGAAGCATCTCGAGTTTTTTTTGTTTATATGGAGTTTGACTCTGTTTAGAAGGAACCCAGAAACAGTTAAAGCTGGCTAAAGTGAGAGCATGAGTCTTAGCGAGCAATATTGAATTATGAGAAGACCCGAGAGGATGGGCAAGCTTCTTAATTATGGCTCAAACCCTAAGCAGCACAAACTAGGATGATATATGCAAGATGGGATCTCTGTGAGAGTTGGAATAAAATAAAACTATAAGATGCTATGGCAGGCGGGCAAAGTTAAATTAAAGTAGAGAGAGAAAGATAGAGAGAGAGAGAGAGAGAAAGTGGGGCAAAGACATATGAATTGGAAAAGGGAGGGAAATACGACCCCCCAAGAAAAGAGAGACAGAGGAGAGGGAGGCGAAGCAAAGTTGTATGATGACCATATGATGAGATCGGAAAAATAAAGTTCATCTCCATTTGGAATTAATGATTATCCCATAATTGCTTCTTTTTGTTTTGTTATTTTTTTAATCCTTTCTCCTCCAATCCCCATTTTCTCTGTTCATTTCCTTTTAGAGATTTGGTCCTATATTATTACTCACCTATAGTAACCCCGCTAATGTGTTCTGAACATTCAAATTATAATGCCTAACGACATACGCCACCTCTGCGAAATTGATAGAAACACAATACCAAGTATAATTAGAAAAATCACGAACTCTTTCTTCAACGCACATTTTACACACAGGCGCAAAATGGGACTCTTTTGAACCTATATATTAAAAGTGGAATTGCCCAAAGAAGATTGATGATAACAAGCCAAAAATGTTCTGAAACGCATGCATGCATTATGGCCTGTACTGGATTGAAACTTGAAAGTGAAGATGAAGATCGAGGGCAGGCCTATAGTTAACCAGCTATGTAATTAATTTACAAATTACTAAGAAGAGACGCTAGCTGTTAATTACTTTGATACTACTCTTGGAAAACAGCCATGCACGTGTGTCCATGCACAGTCCAAACTGTCAATGAAGGTAATTCCACAGGAAACGACGAAGCAACACAAAAAAGGGAATAATCGTCCATATGACAACATAGTATGTCTCACAACACTGGCTGCATTTCTCGCCCCACTAGACTTTTATATACCTATCAAACTATTTGTTTCTTTGTTTTCATTGTTGTTTCTATTACCATCATCGCATCACCCTGCGATGATGTAACTCCGATAAGTCCTGAATTCTTGGATTTATAATTAAAACCAGTAGACCAGTTAAAATTGACAGATCTTCGTTGGGTGGCCGATATTGCAGTCGTACGGCCGTGTAGAATATGAGCTTATACGTACTGAAGCACCTTTTAATCTTATCGCCGATTGCTGGTTGCTTGGTAGATATTTCACTTTGTAGCTTTTTCTATCACTTTTGACGTCCATTTTCTTGTAACTTTAAAAGAATCCCAATGATTCCATGTAAATGCACTTCCATATATATATAATATGGATGTATTAAGATATATCAACGCGTATTCGCGCACAACTTTGATTTCAAAAGTGAATAGAACAAGAAAAAAGAAAGAAATTAAAAGTTCTGAAAACAAAGCCGCATCTTCCTTCTCATCTTCTTTGGCAAAAAAAAAAGAAAAAAAAGAAAAATCTTCCTTCTCATCTTATGATGCTGATTATTTTAAAATAAGCTATGGGGGACCTAAACCATTTCAAAGGATATACTCCCTTTGTTTTTATATATAGGAAAAAAAATTATATCACACCATTTAAGAAAGTTGGTTAATTATATTAATTATGTTTGAAAATAAAAAAAATAAAATAAAATTCTCTATGTTAATCAATATAATAAGCATGCATTAATTATTTTTTATTAATATAAATTATGAGAGGTGATTTAAGAAATTTATAATAAATTCTTATCACAATAATTGATTTTATTTATATAAAAAATAAATAAAAACAATAATTTTTTTTATAAATAAAAAATAATAATTTTTTTATAAATAAAAATGAAAGGAGTATATATGAGATAGAGTTACTCTTCTCAACCACCACCACAAGGAGAGAAAAAAAAAAAGGAAGAAATAAAGAAAAGGGGGAGGCATATGCATGTATTGAATTCACATGACCTTGGGAATGGCATTGAAAAAAGTGGGATCGGTATAAGGGTGAGTTTGAAGTTGGTGTTGTGGAGATTAGGGAAGGGAGAGGAAAAGGTGAAGACACAGGGAGCTGACAAAGGCAGTGAATATTTGGAAGTGTGGGAGTCGTCACCCTGTGGGCTGACTTTTGCCTGCAACATTGGCAGAGCCTTAATCATAATCTAATGATGTTTTTGATTTGAGACATTTGTTTAATCTAAATGTTTGGAGTTTAGCTGTTGAACCTTGGTGGCGTTAGAATATTCTCTCTATCCCCTTCCACCTCTCCTCCCAGTGGCTTCAACTTTCAAGGCCATTGCCAGATTCTTCAGCATTTTTTGAAATTCCACCAAATCCCCCCCGCCACCCTAATTCTCTCTCTAGCTCGACATACTTCCGAATATTGGAAAGCAAGTTATGTAGGTGAGATTTTATTTTCTACATCACCCTAACAAAGCAATAAATCACGCCTACATAGAAAGGTCTCTCTCTAGTGATATATTATAGCATTTAGTTTATAGACTTATGGGACATAGCTAATATTTTCAAGTGATAAAATGTATGAGGTTTAAAGCTAAGCTAACTCAGCTCTCAAAATTAATTCATTTTCGAGCTTTGAGCTAGCTTATAGACATCAAGAGAAAGTTCAAATTCAAAGTTGGTCTAAACAAGAGGCTGATATCTCTAGCTTGAATGTCTTTAAGCTTCAAAATTCTTAGTTGACCAAATTAAACAGGAAAAATCAATACTAAACCCTAACTTACGTATCTCATTTTCAAAATGAGTTTCGGATTGGATCAAATGACTATGTTTAGGCGCAAGCTAATAGGGTAGTTCCGATAATGTCGTTGGCCTATTATGGATAATCCCGTGGAAGGGAAAATGATTTCCATTATTATAAAGAAGTCAATCCCTGCAAGAATTAAATATAACAAACGATAGATTATCAAATAACATTTCTGAAAAATTCACCAAAACAAACAATACATTGTATAATGCCATCATAGAAATAAATCTGGTAAAATTCCAAGTAACTACCAACTATCATGAGCAATTCTTCTATGTGCATGGTGCGACAGATCAGAGAGTGAGTCAGAAAATTTAGCAACAAGCAGAGTTACATATGCGATATGTAATGAGAGGGAGCTCGGATGGGGAAGAGGCAAAGCACGGTGTGGTGGCATGGGAAAAGAATAGACCACCACTATACCTTATGTCAACCAATTATGAAATTGCCATCTTGCTCACATATATAATATTAACGACACTACGAGGCTTTCTCTTTTTAGCTTTGAAAAGCATCCACTTCTCTCTTAGCTTCCTTCTGGAGGCATGCCTACCCCTTATTTTTATTTACACATCTATCCCTTAATTTAAAGAGGTAGGGACCGCATCGGTGCAAAAAGGGGGGAGAGAGAGAGACCAAATAATGCCCAAATCACGAGTTTATTTATTTTAAAATCGAGATCATGTTGTATGGTACTCAAATGAAAAGAAGAGTCACTATCTCTTCTCTCTGTTGCGAGGAAGGTCAGCGTCACTATATATGATCGAGCAGTGAGCACTCACTCAAGCTCCACTAGGGAAATAAAACACAAGAGAGAGCAAAAGGTTTGATGAATTTGATACGATCTTGAAGAAATCAATTGGTGATATGATCATGCTGCTTCTTCAATTATTGGCAAATAATTTTGGAGCAAAATGACAGATTTTCAAAACCCTAGCTCCTTCCTCGGCGGAATTATTTCAAGACAGAGGAGGCCCAGTGTCCACTTCCACCATTTTACCCATCGTGCTTCCGTTAATATCGCACGCTTCGCACCATCTATATTGGCCAAGTCAATAAAATGTCGTGATGAACATAAAAAGTGTTTTTTGTTATCTTCATTCTTCCGTGCCTAAATTGGGGATTTTGTGGCGCCTTTTAAATTTTGTAATTAATCAAATAATTACTTTTTCTTCTCAACTAAAGTACTACACAATCCACGTATGTATTCCCGCTCATCTTCATTTCCTACAAAAAAAATTTTATTTTTTTATTGGACGAGGATTATCTCATCTGCATTTCCCATCCTCTTTCACTCTTTTTTTAACCTTTAAATCAAAATTTGGATAGTTCAAATTCAATCTCTTATAAAATTATTATTAAATGTTAAATCATGAAAAAGATAAATATATAAATATAACATGAGCTCAAACTATCAAATTTTATATATTTGAGATTTATCAAAATAACTTAAATTACTTGATTAGACATGTCTCAAATCTTATATATTTATCTATTAGGGGTGAAACATGATGCTGTTTTTGTGGCTTTATATGAAAATAGTTTTTTTTTTTATGGGGGAATGACATTAGAGTTCCAAACCAATAAATCTATAGTTGTTAGGTTCCTAATAATTTTTTTGAAAAATCAGTTATATATATTAATTTAAATAGTCATAAATTCAAAAAATCCCACTGACATTTCAATTTTAAATATAACTCTTAGGCCATGTTTGATAGCATTGAATTGATAAGGTGAAAATGAAATCAAAGATGGAATCCTAATTTAAGCATGATTGGTATGCAAGAATTATAATTCCTAAGAATCCTAATTTTATCAAAAATGCTAGAATCTAATTCCATCATATTGATCATGGAATTGCTTCAATTCCCTTGAATTCAATTTGTGAACCCCACTATCCTCATTTTTTTTGTCCATTTATAATTAGATAGGTATTTTTAATTTAAAAAAAAGGATAATTTAGTCTTTTCCTATTTTAAGTACCTATATAAATTAATATTATATTAGAATTCCATCTTCATATCAAACACACTTTTAAAACTCAATTCTATTCCGACTTCGATTCTAATTCCGATTCCGATTTCAATTCTATTAAAAACTTTTCCATCATACCAAATGAGGCCTTAGTTTATAGTTAGAAGTCATGTTTTGCAACTATTTGAATCAATATTTACAACTTATTTTTAAAAAATTTTGTTGGTAATTAAATATCATAAATTCTAAGTTTTGAGACTTTATTGTCATTCTTCCTTTTTTTTTTTTATGGATTACTAATGAGCATTGCATAAAAGACCATTCTAATTAAGCCTTACACTATATGCTGTCACCGAAACTCTAAAAGTATAAGGAGGGTGAAGACATCTTAATCAGAAAGCATGCGGAGCGTTTCTTCTGATGACAAATTGTACTCTCACATTTTATGATGACTAGCTAGCGTTTCTCATGAAGCAATTTATATGTACTACTTGGTAAAAAAATATAGAGCTTGCATGTTAAAAAACAGTGAGCATCTCTGATACTATTTAAGACATACGTGAAGTATCTTATAAATCGGTTTTCATACACTGGGAACAAAAACTAGTGTCGTTTCAAGTACCAAATGGCTAATAGCATTTAGAGTGTGAAAACTGAAAATGTTGATATTCGTTGGTCTAATAAAAAGATTAATCTCTCACCTACGCAATCAATCAAAGTTTAAGTCCTTATTACAAATGTGCATTTGTGTAATGTTTGGCTGTGTTTTAAACAAGATGCCTCCTATTAAGAGGATACCTATACACAATAAAAAAAAGTCTAAAATGTCAATTTTTTCAGAAGAAAAATCTTTTCTTTTTTTCTTTTTGGGTTAACATTTAGAAGAAAAATGTTTGGGTGGACGAGGGCCTTGAATTGAAATGAATGGAGAAGCATACGAGTAAGGCCCCTGTACTTTTGGGCTCCAATTTAAACGTAGGCCCTACAATTTAGGCCCATGAGTTTTGAATTTCTCTAAACCCATGTAGACATTTCCCACAAGATTATCAAAACTTCCTCTAAAATAAATTAAAAGTATTTTCAGTTTGACTTCGAAACTTCCATTTTAAAAAATTAAGGTGATGAACAATATTTTTGAGGTTAAAAAAAAAGGATTAAAGGGTATGGTAACATTTTTCCATACAAGGGTGTTGAAAAAAAGAAGAAAAAGTGTAGAGTGGGCATGCTTTAATTGCGGTGAATTGACAAATGAATAAGGGGAAGGAAATTGAAAGTAGGGGAGAATTGTGGGAGTTATATCTTTTCGGAGTAAACCAAAAAATAAGTAGAGGAGAAGTGTGGGAGGAGTTATAATAGTATTTTGAAAATGTTTTCGTAATCAACTGAAGTTATACTACTCTCTTCTTTTTGTGATGATCAAGCGCCACTTTTTTTAGTTGGGTTACGAGGAAATTGACCCGCAAAGGTTCGTTCGTTTTCGTTGTTTGCATTTTGGAATTAACCGCTAGTCAATAAATAACGTGAATCAAGTTTTGAAAGCATTTCAGCCAACTGGGGAGAATTATCTTTTATGTTTTCTTCTCCGTAATCATTCCTTTAAAAAATATAAAATATTTTTAAATAAAATATTAACCAAGATAAGGTATTTTAATTTTTTCAAAGTGTAATTAATGATATTTTAAAAAATCTTATATACTTAACCTTATCTATTTAAGATGTTTCTTTCTAATTAAATCAAGAAATATGTATTTTTTATATTATTTATTCTATGACAAGTTCTTATTATTAATATCATTAATCCAATATAATTCACATGTATTGATTTAATTAGACAAAATTGACAATAACTTCACTTGAGGATAGAAAATTGAAAAGAAGAAGAAGAAGAAGAAGATGCTTCTTCAATTTAATATTATAAGATATTTTTTAGTTGAATCGCATCCCCTAACAAGTTAGTTAATTATTTTTTAATTATAATTTTTTTATATTTACTTTTATTTGATGTCTCAATTAAAAAATCTTTTTGATTATACTCATTTAAGGATATTTTTGAAATAATAAAACTCACGCATTTAACTTTATATATTTATCTTTAGTTTGATTGGAGAGGAGAGGAGAATAAATTTTATCTTTCCCTTTTGTTTGGATGGGACAAGGTAAAGGAAGGGCTCCTCCCTTTATTTGACAAATGGGACCCTCCTCCTCCCCTCACCCTTCTCCCTTCCGTTTTATTAAAATTTCTCTTTTCCCTTCCGCTTCAATCAAATATAATCTAAGACTATATTGAAAGGTAGAGAAGAAGAGGGGAGAGATTTTAATGGAGGAAATGTGTGAGAAGAAGCAATCCCTTCCAATCAAACATAGTGCCAAAGTATTAAAAATGTAAAATTTTTTATCCATTATTTGAAATTTTATTTATGATATGTTATCTCCTGTCTCATTTTTCAAGTGAAGCTATAATTTCACTTTTATTTATGCCCTCATTATAACCAAAGTCTTAGAAAGAATTATGAAGGGAAGTTTTAATTTTTTTTAAACAAAAGGTGAATTATGATGTAATTATTTAAAGTAAACCTCATACATCAATAAAATTTAAGATAAAACAATATAATGTTTTAAAAAGAAGTTTGTGATGAGCAGTACACATATATAGTTTTTGTTTTTGTTTTTCAAAAAATCAAATACGTCCCATGCCCTCACGGATGGCAATTAATTGAGGTGTTTTGTTTTTTTTCCTATTATTAAAAAAAAATCTGAACATCATGCTTCACACTATTCTTACCATTTAAGCCAAGTTCATGTGCCTACTTGTATACGTGTGAAAGCGAATTGAGATTCTGTCAAGCGTCTTTGCATTGGTTTTGCAAGCAATTTGATTGTTCACACATTGCATAAACTGATAGCATGTAAAGTACAGAGTTGGATTTTTTTCTCCTGTAGAAGAGAAAAGATGAGAGACCAATATAAATCTGGACGTTAAATTAAATTTAAAAATTTAGATTTGATTTTTAAAAATATATATTTAATTTGAATGGTTTAGATTTATAGTGAAAAGGTAATTGAAAAAAAATAAAAAAAAGGAGATAAACCCCCCCGTAAAATACTAGTATGATTTGTTGTTTAAAAAAACAGGGAAGAAAGAAGGAAAGGCAAAAAATTATGATAAACGCTGCCAAAAGGGGAGGAAAAAAAAAAAAGAACAAGGTGTGATAAACTAGTTGCTGCCATTGCTAAGAGTGACTGTATTATTTGTTATTTTGTACGAAGGGTGCGGTGCATATTGGTTTAAAGCTTGAGCAATGATTTCGTCTAAAACACTCCAATTCAGACGACGAATTAATTCTCCGTTTGAACTCTTTCATTTGAGTTCTGATCATTACGATTACATCAAGATGGTCTAGAAAGAAAAAGCAAAATTTAAATCTTCTAGTATTCATTACAATATATTTAACTTCTAACGTTAAATCCCCGGGTTTTAATTAATTGCACAAGACATTACCCAAATAGGCGAATAATTTATGATATTGCATAATTGTATCGAAAGTATACATGCAAGTATTGATAGGGAGATGTTCAGTTGTCTTTACTCTTTAATTTTATAGAATTTTTATTATTAACAAAGGATTTTAAAAAACATTCGGACAAGTGGCAAAAATATGGCATTGAAGGAAATTAAAAGGCACGGATACTCGATAGTGAATATTGCCTAACACAGGAATGTTGGCAAACACCATCTGGGTCATCTCCCATAATCACTTTAACCCTTTAATGGACATTTAATAAATTGCAATCAAGCCAACATTTACACTCATTTAACTAATTAGGGTAAAACCACATTTTTTTTTTGAACATCCATGTAAATATTGATTACACATTGTAACAGGGATGAAGCAGAGATACAAGCCCATATAAAAGCAATAAAATTTGGGAAAATCACTATAAAATTTTCCATAATCATTCTAAATGTTTAAAAATCCCATTAAATATACACATGGCTATGAGGTCTCTAGAGAGTTAGTTGTAAATAAATTTTTTTGTAAATTGATGAAAATGCCCCTGACTTTTTTTTTTCAAAAAAAGAAGCTCTTGAGCATTAGCATCATGTCTCAAATATAATGCAATATCCAATATAAACAATGCTTGTTGATTGTGTAACAGTATTTTTATTATTATTTATCATTGTTTTATTATTAGAAATAATTCTACTTGAGACACAGTAAATATTAAATGTGAGCATTTATCTAGCGGAAATTCAAAATCTGTTCGGCTTAATTTTCAATGGAGATTGTTCAACATTATTAATGCGATGTAATCTTGTAATTTTTTTGGGTATAATGTACCATCGTAATGTTATTGTTAACGTTTTCGATAGAACAGAATAATTTATTTTAAAAAAAAAAAAAAAATCACAGCACCAGCCCTCCCGTATTATCAGATTTCTTGGTAAGTTTTTCATTTGAGTTGTCAAAGAAACCTGAATCAAAGAAACCTGAATCGATCATTACAGGGACCTCATCCGATAAAATTGGAAGAATGACACATATAAAGCAAGAAAAGAAACCTGAATCGCGCGCGATTTATAACGCAACATTCTTCTTCCATCAAACCAAATGATCATTCAATCCATCGTCTTGTTTTATGTATAATAATTTTGTCTCCCTCCTTTTCCTGAAGGCCCGTTTAGTTTTTCTCAGTTCAGATTCAGACGGATCAAAGTCAACAACAACAACGACAACGCAAAGGAGAAACAGAGTCTCAGAAAATATTCCATATCCTGCCCGTCATGTCATAACATTCTGGTCCTGTACTGTACCACTACCACCTATTTGTTAAACGCAGAAAATTAATCCTTTTGCATTTCCTTCTTTACAACTTTCGAAACAGAGAACTCTTTTTTTTTTTTGGGTTTTGGGGACCGTAACCCTAGACGAGAAAATCAGGAATCAGAGCCACAAGGCGCCCGCTTGTTTGAGAATGGGAATCAAATCGCCGGAAATATGGGTGGCCATGAGACGATCCAAACCTCCGAACAATTTCCCCCCTATGAACACCGCCGGGAACTGAACCTTGTCGTCTTTATCATTCCCGCGAATCAACTCTTCAAGTTCCATAACAACACCCCCCTCGTCCTTCTCGTCCACGTCACAAACAGCAGGGTTCACCCCCAGCCCCAACAGAAGCCGCTTCACGACGTGGCTCATGCAGCAGCCCCGCCTTCCGATCACAATCACGGCGTTCTCCGTCACCATCTTGGCCACCATGCCGTCGCACCTCGGGGAAACAGGGGAGGGACTGCGGGCGATCAGGGAGTGATGAGATGTCCTGTAGGGAATGGCTTCTTGCATCGCGTGCGGGCGTCAGAGAATGAAGGGATGAGTATAATGATTTGGAAGAGAAGAGTCGGGCGTGGGCGTGTATATATATGTGGAGGACTGGGGGATGCAATTTGTTGAGTTGGGAGAGAGGGAAAGAAGAAGAGGAGGCTGAGCGTGATTTGGTCGTAATGTGGGGGTGTGGCTGACGTTTGTGGTTGGGTCACTTGCTCTCTCTGCTTTTATTGTGAACGTTTTTATTTGGACGGCGTCCCACTTGCCTGCTTTCCACTTGCCTGTTAATTATCTATACTCCTTCTGCATTGCTGACTTAGCGCCACGGTCATCCAGGAAGACCACAGGCAAAATTAAAAATGACTACTGTTTGTTGTTCGGTTTATATTAATGAATGAAAATCTAATGTAATTTGTCTATCCGCACGGAGATCAGTTAAAAGAGTTTTTTTTTTTTTTAAAAAATAATATCGGAGATACAAGTTATACTTAGGAGTGGGGAAAACAGGAAAAGAATGGGGCAAAAAGAGAGAGCAGCGTTGAACTCACTCATGGACCAACATCAGCAGGCGTGTGGTCTCATGTCAGAGAGGAGGCCCCGCCACGTGTCACGGATAATGGTCTAGTAACTCTTTAACGTCACCCCCTGGTTGTCGCCAACAAACCCCTTCCCTGTCGTCTTCTGCCACGTAATTGCCCCTTCAACCGCACCCATTACGTCATGGCTGCGTGGCAGCGTGTTTCACACCCCACCCGCATCGCTTGCACCGTGTTCAATTCATATCTCGTGATTTCACTCTCTCTTCACTTCCCTCCACCCTTCTTTTTCTTAAATAATTTTTTAGTTACTGATGTGTTTTGGAGCTCCAACTCTTGAATTCAATGGATCGAGCAAGACAACCAATAATTAACCGACGACAAAAGTCATGTTTATGCACTTTTATTGTCCATCCAATCACAACATCTCGTCCTAGATCCGCCGGAGAACGGATAAGTTCTCGTGGAAGATGGAACTCTTTTCCGTCGTTTTATTTTATAAAAATTTCATCATCAGTCATCATGGGACGTCAACACGTGACGTGCTGCAATAGGCAACGGGCCAGTGCTCCTGCGCCTCCTTTAATTTCCGGCACTCATGGCTGACGTGCTTGTGTGCGTATAATAAATTAATAATTAACCTAGCCAGGAGTATTTTACTTGGAAAGAGAAGTCTACAAATTTAATTTTTTTGGGGCCTTTCAGATACGGATCCCATTCAGCGAATGTATCTAAGAGATGCCCCACCGCCACAATTATGCAGCGTTGGGAATTTGCGCCCTTGCGTCCACCGGATCTTGAAACTTTTGACCACAGTTTTGTATGCAATGTTCAATTAATTAGTGGCACATAGACTAATAATAGGATGGAAGCTCATCGGTCAACTGGATGGGCTCCAAGCCTTGGGTCGCCCACACTCACAACCTACTCCATAATTATAATTATAATCATAAGGCTCATATATATATAAATATATATATATATGTAACACTCCTAAATTTTAGGTTTACCGAATATAACTCCCATGAGCTTTAAAGCTTGACAGTAAACCTCCTTCACCTTCTATATTTAAACATAAAACTTCTTTCTATTAATAGATCTGTTAAATCATCAACATAAAGCTATAGGTTATATTTGGCTTGAAATGTGGCAGTTGATATGGCTTCAAGTACATTTACATCATACATCAAGGACTGACACGTACTCTAGTTAAAAGAGAAAAGGTAAATCCCATTGGTTCATGATTGTTAATTTCATTTTTCTCCCCTCGTAGATTGAAAGCCATCACTGGGTCGAACTTTTTCACCTCCATCCTCCCCAGGAAGATATCCCAATAGTCACAATAGGCAAGTATCAACCTTGCATTCATTTTCCCCCAAAAAAGAAAGAAACCAAAGATACCTTTTTCGTGCCAAAAAAGCTTGTGTCGTTGCTTTCTTTTCCTTCCATTCTTGATATTATTGCCATTAAGTTGACACACCACTTCTCGCTCCTCTTTCTTTTATATCTGATTTTCTGCAAAAACTTAAGCTTTTTGAATTAATATTGCCTTTTTTCTTCCTCTTTTATTTGTTGATGCCTTGGTTGATATGCACCGGCAACTGATATGCATTTTGTGGCCTCCACTGTGTAGCACGTTATTTTGCAACGAGGCTGAGGTGTACGTCGAAGACTTGCTCTCTCTCTCGCAAGAGGGAGAATGATGTTTAAGGTTTTACTCTTTGGTCTTAAGTACTAAAATGACATAAATGTCTTTGAAGCCATGTCAGCTATCACATTTAAGTCAAGTCTGATGCATCACGTTCTGTTAATAGCTTAACATATTTACTGACAGCATGGAGTTCAATGTTCAAAATTAAAAGTGAGGGATGTTTATCATCAAGTTTTAAAATTCAAGGGAGTTATATACACTTGACTGAAAATTTAGAAGAGCTATGTGTATTTTAACCTAATCATAAATCAACCCCAATTCGCAACCACCACCAATATGGGCGGGCTATTCCCTACTGTGAATGAAAGTATGAAACCAATCATCTTCACGCGTGAGGAAGGGCAGGCTTAGACATGGGTTTCATTTTCGGTTTATCAAAAATTGGCAAAAATCTACTTGCCAAATTCAAATAAAAGTTATTGAAAAGAATTTATGTTTGAATAATTTTTTTATTAAGTCAATTTAGTAAATTAAAAATTGTTTGGATAATATAAATCAAAATTACTTCTCAATGTGTAAATTGTAATCGCTGAAGAGGATAAGAGTTTGATTATATACATACTATACACATATACATGCATGCATGTGTGTAAATGGTTGAACAATTCAAATTCAAATGAGATTGGAATACTATCTAATTTTCTTACCAAGTGAATTATCTCTTAAAAACAATAAGTAAAAAAATTATCAGGATGTGTTCAAAAGACATGCAATTAATTTTCTCAGTTTTATTTCCAGAAGATATGGGGTAGCACTGAAACAAGAGGACATAAAGGAGAGAGACCAAAAAAAAAAAAAAACCTTTACCACAAAGAGTAACAAAATTTCAAAATCTTTCTAACAGCAGCATGATAAATGCAACATGCGGGACAATTTACAGTATCATGTCCAACAATGCATCGGCTTCCATCATTTTATGTATTAAAAAGAGAGACAAACATTTGAACCTCAAATAACATCTGGCTATAATGATTCCAAAAGCCTGCTATTGACCTGTTGAACCGACAACTGAATCAACTACGTTCCAATTTTCTACAGAGATGCTCAGTTTTTGTTTAGTTCCAAATTCATCCCCTGAAGATTCAGCAACAGATCATTGGAATTCAAGTAGACCTTGTTTCTTGCATTTGAAATAGTATGCGCGATCTCTCTTGCAGCTTCTATCTTCCTCAGTGTGATGAAAGCAGGATTGTTGGCAATAGCCTGACCGATCAGCTGGGCACTTTTTGCCTTACCCTGGATATCAAAGGCATCTAAAATGAGTTGTCTGAATTGACATAAAAAGGTGAAGAAACATAGTTCTGTCACGGAATGTAGATTGCAGCAACTCAATACGAAGTGATAGGCGCATCTGATTCCAAGCACTCGGTTTCTAGTCTCACCTGTGCTCTGATTACAGCGCTTTTCTTGTCCTGTTCAGCTTTTTCCACAACAAATTTTGTCCTCTCAGCTTCTTGTGCAGCAATCTGCTTGGCTTCAATTGCAGCTGTGAACTCCTTGCCAAAGGTCAAAGAGATAATTGACACATCATCGAGTTCAATATTGAAGTTGGCTGCCCTCCCTTTCAGAACATTCCTGATTTCCCTACTAACAGCCTGCAAAGAATAAATTCAATCAATATACTTCCTTCTTTGCGTTCAAACGGATTTTTAAAATTTTACTAAGAAAACAATATATGAATTTGCAGAGCAACAAAGGATGATTGATAACAAGTCAACTTAAACAGAACACTTCTTCACTTTACCGACGTGGCAAAACAGAAATAATAATTGTCCATATAAAATATAAAACATGTTAGGCTAGTAAAATTTAAGCAGAATACTCTCATTGGGTAATCACTTATCTGTAGCCATAGGGCTAATTACAGCAAATGACAAACAAATAACTATTGGTATTGGCATATTGAGACAGCAACACGATTTAAACATCTCAATAACTAGCATACTTATTGAAGGTAATCAGTCGTACTCATACCTCTCTCTGAGTAATCAGTTGGCTGGCATTGTATTATGCTACCACAGCTTTCAAAGTTTCATGTATAATAGAAGGTAAAACTCTTTCATTATAACTTTCACCAAGAGTTCGGTAAATTGTAGGCAATTCACCTGGTGTAGGACGGGTAAGGACTCGAAGCCCTATTCTTACCTGTGCAACAAAATCACAATCATATTGACATGTATATGCAATTCAGTACTAGCGTGGTAAAAAATGAATACAAATTTCTTGAAATATGAAACATTTCAAAATCAATTTCAAGAAACCAAACAGATTTGCCAGCAAATAAGTAATAAAAGTTCTAGTTTTCTATCATTCATAGGATTGCTTTGAAGGAAACAAAAGCACAGAACGCCTTCTTTTGGGCCAAAGTACAGAACGCCTAATGAAAGTAAGTTTAAGGATATCAAGCAGGTGTAAAAAGGCTAAACCAAGAGAAACGCAAGCAGCATTAAAATTTTAAAAACAACAGGAAGAAGGGTAAAAAGAAACACAATTTTGTTTAGAATGTGATAATAAAGATCGGAATTCTCTTTGGTGAAAGGGTGCAGAAGTAAGGGTTCTAAACGTTTTGTTTTTCAAATTTAAATTTCATGACAACACAAGTTTTAGCAGAAGCAATTATCATCTGGAGATCACGACTCCCTGACGTACTCTCAATTAGATGGGGTCGTGCACGGACATCATAGATGACTGGCCTTTCAAACCATGGAATCATAAAATGTGTCCCTTCAGGATAGACCTACATGACGACAAGGAATTGCATTTCATGAGGGACAACCACCAGAAGTGAGAGGACAAAAATAAATGTAATCTGGACCAACTTAATGGAAATCAAAGGAGAAGATAGAGCTCTCCATTGCAAGATGCCAAAAGACAGTGATGGCAACAGGAATAAACATTCTCAGAAGTGTTGTAACTTTAAAGGTTGAGTAGTGGATTTAGCATGTCAAATGGCCAGATAAACACTAGTCATTTCGTTTTCAGTGTACTGACAATTATCTAATTTAAATGCAATTAAACAGTACATTTTCCAGTTTAACACTTGATGGTAATCTGCAAAAGTAACCATGTTTTCTACGAAAGGAAATAATTATATATCAAACAATGACCTTGTCTTTGACACCAAGTACACGGTTGAAGACAATAGCTCGATGCCCTCCTTCAACATTGTAAAGACTGCTAGCAGCTGCATATAAGCCAAGACCACCAAAAATTCCCAGCTTAAACAGGGCGGAGGATGCATCGCCACCTGGAATGTTTGGAACCTTCAAGTTCTTGAAATTCACTTTCCTAATCGCAGAGGAGTAAGATTTAGAAGAGTCAGAGTGTCGCCAATAAAATGCAGATAGAATCTTTACATAAACAATTACATAGAAGGGGGAAAAAAAAGGCGCCTGATCAATAATTAACAATGGAATTTCTAAAGAAGCAAGACTTGCGGACAAGATAATTCCTTAATTCCTCTGTATTTTCTCGGCAAGCAAAAAGCACGACAACAGAAGGATGAGAATTTAATCCAGTTTCTCAATATAATGCCACCAAGAAAGAACATACCGGAAAAGAAATAAATAAGGCGATAATGTAATAGGCGAGAAAAAGTATACCTAGAGATAGTTTCGAGTGAGAAAGCGTCGAGAAGAGTTCAGGGTTTATGCTTCCCCCTGTAATAGGCGAGAAAATTAGACCTAGCGATCGTTTCGAGTGAGAAAGCGTGGAGAAGAGTTCAGGGTTCATGCTTCCACCTTTTGTACGGTTTAACAGTCTAACTTTCCGGACAAGAAATCGGGAAGAAATGGAAAGAGCCGAAACAACTTTTTTGGGTAACGAAGAGAAACGAAACGTTTCAACCCAAAACAAAGGCCGCAGAGCGGGAGTTGGGGAATGGGCTTTTATATGTCCATTGGAAAGGAAAAATAAATTAATATTCTTATTTTTCATTGCAAATTTGATGATATTGAAATAAAAAAAATATTTGGACACTTGTGTTATGTTTTTGGGGCTTATAATGAACACAAAAGATAATTGTCGGTTGATGCCATGATCTAATTGAGAAGGAAAATCTATCTTTCTCTTAATTGAGGAATTGCATCTATCCCTTGAATCTACTATTATCATCCTAAAAGTTGTTTTTCCCCCATATATCATAACCCGACCATTGTTGGTTTCTGATGGTAATTACTTTTAGAAATTTGTTGTCCTGTTTTTTTCTCTACAAATGTGTTTAGTATTTATGCTTGATTTGTTTCAAGAAAGTAACTATGTTTCAGACAATTAGATAATAATAGATTGCACTTGAATGCATGGCTTAGAATTGACAAACGTGAGGGTATATATACGTTAGCGTGAGAGAAACTATTACCGTCTTGAAGGAGTATAAGAAAGGAAGTGGGATTGTTTCCAGAAAAAGGCAATGTCCAAAGCAATGAAGGGAATGTTGCTCTGTGCTGTGTTGGCGTTCCTAGTGATGACCATTGAGGTGGTTGGCGGTGAAGCAGAAAATTTGGTAGGGCCCTCCAGACATACACATACGACGAAGACTAAGAACGCCTGCTAATCCATACAACAGAGGCTATAGTAAAATCTATCGTTGTCGAGATGGCACTAGCAAGCTTCTTTGAAATTTCTTTATCCCTAGTATTACGTACCTTATACTGAATGTGAAACTCAACTATACATGTTTCATCTCTCTCTACATATGCATGAACACTCTTGATTTAATTTATAATCTACCTCCCGCAGCAATTGTTCTGTTGGGGCAAGTTGAAGAGATGCATGTGCATCACATAATTAATGGCGTCATTTTGGGGTTAGCTTACATGATAGGGATGGGATAAAACAGGAATGGAAATAAAAGTATAGATCTTCTAATAAATGTCAGATTTTTAATGAAAAAGTATTCGCTCATCATTTTTCTATGGCCAATGATACTACCAATGCCATTTACATGCAATTGCCAGTGACATGTCACAGGGACATGAAATCCTCTCTGTCAGAGGGGAGGTTGACAGTTTTATTCACAACGTGTCTTAGTAAATAGATGTATGCATATTAAAATTTAAACTTATTATCGCTTGTGTTAATAATGATTTTCTAACAATTTTTATTAATTGCCTGACACAAGCAAATACTATCTACAGTAGGTAGCTTGGGTCAAGCTTATTGAGCTCAAATAAGCTTTAAAAAAAAATTAAAGCCAAGTTCAATAAAATAATGAATTTTTAATGTTCGAGTCAGCTTAAATATATCAAAACGATTTCATCCAAACCCAATCAAATTCAAGTTTAGCTCAAATATAAATTTCTTTTTTAAAAAATATAAATATAATAAATATTAATTAAATTTTTAAGTTTTAGATTATTTTATAATAAAATATCATATATTTGAGAGTGCTACTATAGATATTTAAAAAATAAAAAATATTTATATTGTCATATTTTTATTATTTTTAATTTATAAAATATCTTAAAATAATATTTAAAATATGTTTTAATATTAAATTTTAAATTTTAAGACCCAAATATATATATATTTTTTAAGTTTTCAGTCTCATACATAGTTTAAATATTCAAAAAATATAACTTTAAAAATAAACATGCTGATATTCAAGCCGTCCTGGGCCTGAATGTATTCAAGCCAGAGTTAGCTACTAAGGCTTTTCAAGAAATTTTGTCCTGTAATGCTGTCCAATAAATGAAATCTCAATTTCCTTTATTGACAAACAATAGCATATCGAATTCATGAAAAAGAAGCTATGCGTTGGGCCCGAGTTCAACATAATTAACGTTTGAGCTGGGCTCATGTAAAGGGCTTCTTTCATGACCAACCTGACCCACCACAATAACGACGGCCTACTTCCCGTTCCATCTCGCCGCCGTTCTCTTCTCCTCCATCCTTCTCAGCAAGGAACATCGAAGAGAGGCCGAACCCGACTCCTCTTGGCATTCTTTCTCGTCCTTGCTTCATTTCAGATCCTTCTCCTTCGGCTTTGAGTTCAATACCCCAATCAAGTTCCAATATCTCGCTTCTTCAGCGCAATTGGTGGTGGTGGATGGCAAAAAACAACAAATACACCTCCATTAACTTCAACCACATCTACGAGAAAAGCAGCAGTTCCGCTTCTAACACCAACCTTGCCAAGAACCCAGCTCCCTCACTTTCCCCTTCGTATTCTGCTACTTCTTATTCTGCAATTTCTGCTCCCAACAAGACTCATGGCCGTATGTTGGTTCTGACTCGACCCACTCACACACCCACACCCAAACCCCTTCAACCCCAGCTCCAACAGCCACCCCAGCAACCATCTAAGCTGACTCAACAAGTACCGGATCAACCCCCCTCCGATTCCGGTTCCAACGCCATCTCACTTCGTCCGTTGGGCCGGACGGGGGCCACTTCGTCTCTCTCGCCCCCTATTTCTAATTACGACAAAGATAAGGAGTTGCCTTCCGCTCCACCGGTCATTTCTCCGAAATCCGACAAGTTCGTGCCACCTCACCTTCGTCCCGGATTTGTTCCGAGGGAGGAGAAGCCTGGACCGGAATTGAGTCGGCCACACAGGCAGCTGGGTCATGCTGGATATCCGGGTCGATATGTGGAAAACGGCCGACCCAAGTCGGGTGGGTACGAGAGGATGAGGAGAGGCGGCTTATCGGATGTGGGGTTGATGAATCGGCCGAGATCCAGTGGGGGTCGACCAAGTTCCAGTGGATGGTACGTTCGTCTTATTAATCCAGCTGCGTGTTGTCGTGTCCAGTACCATTGAGTCTTTTGTGTTTTGTCATTTCTTACTTGAATTTAGGTACAACGTATGGGAGGTAGGTAGCCGCATCAGTGGCAGTTTGCGAAAATATTTTCAGGAAAATATAAGTTTTTGGTCATTTGTTGACTTATAATTGGCGAACAGTTTAGTTTCAGTTCGAACAAACTCGTGGAGAGTAGTGGTAGGGAATAGGGGATGTTGAAGATCGAAATTTTATTACCAATAAATTTAATAATCATTAAACAATTTTATTGTGCAAAAACGCCGAATCCTCTCATTATATTACTTGCTCATAAATATTGAGCCTATTTACTTGGTTTGTCCGCAAGACTGCAACATCACATTGTATAAGAATTCCTTGATGACTATTATGCATAGCTGCAAATCTACATCTGCTTTATATTCGTATACAAGGTTCAAAGAATAACATGACCTTAAGCAGATGACTATTTGACAATGAACTGAGGGAGTCTTAATCTAGTTCCATGCAGAATGAGGGTGAAATAAATCAATGATGTCTTAGAAGGAGAGCAATGAACTTGTATATGGGGTTAAACTCCCATGTTAGTCTAAACATAGGATGCATTGATACTATTACAGACACAGGACATAACACTGATGCCAACATGGTGATTGAACTTTAAAGCGTTTACAAGCCGTTTATTGTGTTGCGTAGTGTTGTGTCGTGTCCCACGCGAGTATCTCATATATTTCAAACACAGATTTGGCCTTTTTTTTTTTAAAAAAGGTCTTCATGCTTCAGAGGTCTACCCTAAATGATCTGGAATGGTTATACGTGCATAGAGAATATTTGTGCTAGACAAGTTCAATTTTTGCTCCTTCATGTTTGTTCAGTTTGCCGGTGTTTAGAATTAGGTAACCTTTATTCTTCTATTGGGGATTAAGGTCAGTATGTAATTGCGGTAATTGTAGACTATTTTAAAAAGGGAAAGGTGTGTAGTTGAAATTAACCCTCAATATTTATTGGTTAAAAGGCCGTATACTTTGTCCCAGGAATCAAGATGAACGTTGTTTGGCAATAACTTAGGTGTTTAAATTCATTAATTGATTTTATATCCTGTAGTGATATTGAAATAGATTGAAATTTTGACATTGTGCATGTTACATGTTCATTTTGGCCATATTTGGAGTTCTATGGTGTAATCTCATGCATGTATCAATTCAACATGCTGCTTAATAGACGCCATTTTAATACTCTTGCATTTTTTGGGAAGAAGTGCTCATAAAGTTTGCCTGTTAAGGAATAAAAGTGATATACATTGGCTCTGCTTGACAATGTATGATATGTTTGCACAGAAAGCGCCAGAGATTGAATTATTTCCCGAGGGCAAATTGAACTCGTTTAGCAAAACAGATGGGTTCTCTTTGGCAATTCAATGCACGCATCCTTTGGCCCTCTGGAGTTGATATCAATTTTCACAGAGATGACATTTGGATTCATTGAAGATTGACCTGATCAGGTGGCAACCTTTCGACCTCTGTTGTCAGAATCTGTAAGGGATTTTTGTTCTTTCATCACGTGCCAACAATCGAATGTTGAGTCAACATAATATATATTCATGGCTAAACTGGTTTTGGTTGGCAGTTAATATATATATATATATATATATAACACTCTGAAAAGGCAGTATGACACTATTGTGTACGAATTAAATCATGTTAGGGAGTCAATCTTGTTTTGTTTTAACGACTGCCAAGCTAATTATATTTTAAGAAAACTTAGCTTGCTAAATTACCCAGTCATTTGTTCATGGTTATGAGTAACATCTTCCATGCCCAGTTCACTTGAGTCCTTGCGGTGCATGGAATTCATCTACTTGTAGATTTGTCTGCAACAGCAAATCCTGGTCTTCTTCATATTTAATTTATTAATTAATAATTAAATAATTACTAGTTTCTCAAATGATGAGAGTAGTTCTTCACAATGAGGCACATGCTATTATGTCAACCATAAAATATGTATTGGGGGCTAAAATTAAAAAAAAAGAAAAAAGAAAAAACACTATTTTGATCTCCCATCCCCAAGTATATTCGCGATGTAAATATGATTATCCAAAGTACAGATATTTTGTGAAGTGTGTTGCTCTCTTAATAATGGATTTGAATTTAATGACTGTATTCAATATAAGTGTTGAGTGTCTGTACGATTTAAATCTTAATTTAAAGATCAATGATTATAAATTTATATTTTACTTGAGATTAATGAAGGAGTGGGTTTATTTAATTGTTGATTTAGATTTTAACAGTTCAAACTGTATAAGCATTTAGTACTTGTATTAAATACAATTACTGAATTAAAATTCCTTAACAATATAGAGACCATTAAGGACTGCTCTCTTCAATCCATTCCTTATTTGACAAATTGTAGGAGAAAGGCTTGATTACGGGCAAACTTCAATGAGGGATCTTAAACCCACGACAGGGTTTATCTTATAGTCTTTGAAGCCAGCACCCAAGAATAGCTTAGCCCACTCTTTCTCTGTGCGTTCTTTTCCGTTACTCAGCAGCATCATCAACATATTGAAGCAGAGCTGTGTTCCAAGTGATTCATCTTCCTCCTCCTTTGGGTTCTCCATTTTTACCATGTCAATGGCGATCGCCTTATTATCTCTCCTCCCATCACCCGAAATCGCCTCTCTGCAGTTCTTTAGTATTTTGACACATTCCTCGTTGCCCCAATCATGCAATACGCTCTACTTGGCATTGTTTGCAAGAAGAATGTCAGAGGTTAGACATTTGCATGTATATGTAGAAGATGACAGCATTCAACAGATTATATAATTATATGTTGCCTTTGGCATACCTTCAATATGATTCCATCTGCTGGAGGAATGGCCTCAAACATGTCGCCTGCAACGAATTTCAAGTTGTTGGTTCCCTGCATGTTAAGACAGACCATAAATTTCTATCAAGCAGGCCCAATATCAAGCTTATCACATATAAACCCAATACAGCTATGAGTCACAAGAAGGCCCAATCTATTGTTTAATGGGGTGCTGCGTTTTACACTTTATCTGTACATAATTGTTCCTTTGTAAATCTGCCATCTGATGTAATTCTTTTCCTAGGGTTCCACACCCTACCTATAAATAGCAATATACATCACAGAGGCTGTGCGCCACTTTTATGCAATTTCATATTCTCTACTTTTTCTACTCTGCAAGCCAGCAACCACGTGGGGGGGATCTAATACAGTGCAATCCAAGTGTTGAAACGAGTCAGCAATGGCCTTTGCCAAAGTCCCAGTACCTCCACCAACATCGACCACAGATCGCAGCCCTTCAAACGCCCCCTTGCATTCCGTTGTCACTGCTCTGGAGATCAAACGAGAATCACTCTTCGTAGCATTATTGAACACTTGATTATCATTTGGCTCGTGATGTGCATACTCCCAAATGGGAATCCCATGGGCTGTTTCAAATGGCGTGGACAGGTCATTCCGGAACCAAGCACTCAGATGATGCCATGCCTTCATCTTCACTGGATCAAGGGACGTGAGCAAGTATGGTGCCATGCCGTAGGGGTTGTCCTTAACCAGTAACTTCCAAGCATTTGTGAGCATGTAGGCTTCTTCTAAGTCATCGTCTTCCTCACTTGCTTCCTGTACAGTGAAGAAGCCAGAAAGGGTGAGAATGCTCATGAGACGATGAATACCATGTGATTTGGTTGGGTGAATTGGTAGTTCTGCGATAAGCTTGCAAAGTTTCATAGATTGGCCGTGCTTATGAATGGTATCAGGTATACCCAGTTGAATTGCGCACTCAAGCGACATGGATTTTATGAAGCTGTAAGTTTGATTCCATGCGTGTGAATGGGCTCTGAGTAATTGATCATTCTCAACGTCTTCATTCTGCAGTTCGATTTCCATCTTTTTTCTTGCGCTGAGATAACCCATACTAAGAGGTAGTCATCTATATATAGCCATTTTGGATCATTATTTCCAATGACTCTCCGAATAAAATTGGTAAGATTTTTAAGCTAATGTGAGTATGAATTTTGAATCTAATAATAATTCGCTGCAATTAATGGTTGAATATTGATTCATATCATGCATTTTTAATTATTAACTAATGCCATTTATATACATTTGAATCATTTTCTAAAACTACGACGCGCTATAATTTTTTTTTAATCTTAATATACACGTATGAAGAAAAAATGGGAGGTTATAATTTTATGCTATGGGTGTTCAAGATAAAGATTTAATTAAGATGAATATAAATAGAATAAAGGCTATCGATGTTCAAAAACAATGAAAGGCTTGGGAGAGGTTAATGCAAAAACAATGCTTATCATTTTCTTTTAAAATGAAAAAAAGTAATGATATCAATTAGTACTCAATTAGCCTACAATGCAATGAATGTTAGACGAAGCGTGTAAATTCATTTCCCCACACACACCCACACACTCTATATATAGAGAGAGGGGTGGGGGACCCATAATTAAACATGTGCACATAGGATCCAATAGATGGAAATTAACACAAGAGTTGCATGCTTACTCATGTTACTTAAGGGGCTGTTGGTTAGAAGGGAGGGAAGAAAAAAAAATTTGTTTGATTGGAGGGTTGGTTAGAAGGGAGGGAAGAAAAAAAACTTTGTTTGATTGGAAGGAAGGAGAGGGAAACTTTCCATTTCCTCTAAAACCTCTCCCCTCCAAATTGAGAGATTCATTCTCCTCTTGAACCAAGCACAGTCTAAAATTAATTAATTATCTTGAAAAAGTTGATTGATGAATTATTAAAAAAGGTAAGATTTTTTTTTTTGAATTCATGGATTTTTTTTTGGAACAGATGTCTAAAAACAACATTTGATCCTTTCATAATTTGACATATTTGCATAAAATCCTGAACCCCAAGGGAGAAGACTCCACATATAGAACTAGAAGTTTCAATTTTTATTTTATTTTCGCTAATTAAAAACATAATCATTTCATTTTTATTTTTCTGTTTTATTTATCTAAATCCAAAGCGCGAGAAAGATTGAGATAATGCCATATTGGTGACTAGTGTGTCAAGGGCAAACTCCCCAACAAGTCGTCAAGGTCGCTAATTGAAAATTGTACTCTATACTTTGCTTCAAGTACATGGTACTTTCTTATTCTCAATATAAGAGAAAATTAACTAACATTTTATTTATTAAGAAATGATAATTATATTCTTAAAATTATTAAAAAATATATCACTTTTCAATTTTTTCATTCTTTACAATTAATGACCATATTAAATTATTATTTAGGAATTCAAACCATAATAAATAAATAAAGGTAAAATTTAAAAAACAACTAATTACTCTAACCTTGTCTTATACTAAAGACCAAAAAAAGCTTTTAAAATTTGCTTTAAATTAAGGATAGACGGAAATAATAATTATATGTTTCTATTACAAAACATAACAATCTTTCTCTTCTTTCTTTCTTATCTCTCATAGCATACAATATAACAGGTAAATAAAAAACAACAGGTAAATAAATTAAATTATGTTTAAGGATAGATTTCAATGACAGACCTTAAACCCAGAACACGAATTATCTTGTAATTAGTAAAACCAGCAGAGCAAAATAACTTGACCCATTCTTGCTCTTTCCTTTCTCTTCCGCCTTTAGCAAGCACCATCATCAACATGTCCAGGAATAGTTGTGTTTCCACCGATTCATGATCTTTATCGTGGTGATCCACCACCATGTCTATAATGATCACTTTCTTCCCCATCTTCCCATTGCCTGAAATTGCGTCCTTGCACTTCTTTAGTATCCTTACGCATTCTTCATCACCCCAGTCATGCAGGATCCACTGTTTGTCCACTCATGCACGACACAAACCTCGCAAGTTAAAAAGCCCAAAACAGAAAACCAGAACCGGAAATGAAATACAGTTATATATATATGTATTCAATTCCTACCTTCAGTAGAACTGCATCTGCATTAGGAATTGTCTCAAACATGTCACCTCCAATATAGTTCAAGTTGTCACTCCTGTTCAACCCAGCAACAACATGCGGAAGATCTAGCACAGTGCAGTTCATGCTTGGGAAGGATTGAGCTATGGCCTTCGCCATAGTTCCTGTACCTCCCCCAACATCAACCAGAGAGTCTAATCCCTCGAACACCCACTTGAACTTGTGAAGCATGGCACCTGACACTAGGCGAGAATCACACATCATTGCGTTGTTGAACAGATGATTGAGCTTCGGGTTACGGCTTGCATTCTCCCAAATCGCCATTCCATGTGCTGTGTGATACGCCGTAGGGTGGTCGTTCTGGAACCAGGTACTCAGATGATGCCAAGACTCCATTTGAACTGGATCAAGTGACAGAAGCAAAGAAAAGGTCATGCTCAAGGGGTGGTCCTTAACAAGGAGCCTGCCGGCATTCGTCAGAGCGTAGGCCTCTTGTTCAGGCTCGTCTTCATTAACTATCTTTTTATGGAAGAAACCTGAATGTGTCAGAATGGACATGAGGCGGCCGATGCCGTCTGCTTTTGCAGGGTTGATCGGCAGCGAAGCTGAGAGTTGAGAGAGAGCCATGAAGGGTTGGGTGTGATTATGGAGGAGATCTGGTATGCCCAGTTGAATTGCACACTTGAGGCACATGGAGTTGATGAAGTTGTAGGTTTGGTTCCATATGTGGGCATGGGCTTGGAACAGCTCATCCACATCAAAGCCATTTTGCAAATCCATTTTCACCACTTTCTGAGGCTTCATGAACTGCTAATGTGGTGGGATCTCAACAACACCTCCACCATGCATCCTGTTTATATAGTATGAAATTCCGACCCGTGGGACAAAATGAATGCACTTCAAATCAAATTTAATTATAATTTGTCATTAATTTTCTTGATTTTATGGATCGAACCTTGATTTTCAGAATAAGGTGGAGATTTCACTAATGGATTTGTCCCATTTACAATAAAATTGTGTGTAATACCAGTGAGATTCAATGTCAGGAATTGGGCCTGAAAAGATAAGATAATATGAATATTCTTTCTTTAAGTTTCGAGATAATTAAGATGTAAAATTATATTGATTTTAAATAACTTGAACTTGGACTTGGGACATTTTTGAAAGGATTCATGAATTATTCAAAAAGGTATAACTCCAAAATATGATTCATGCCAGGTCAAAAAAAAAAAAAAAAGATTCATGCGCATGGATTATATAAAATATGACTAATAATCATCATCATCTAAAATGGTGTCTTAAGGCAATTTTTTTAAGACACTATAAATTCCTTCAGAGGCAAAAGGGCAACCAAGAAACTTTGAATTCAGGATCAGCACTGTGAGTTACCTTTTGTAGGGAGATGTACTATTATTTTTGGATTTAAATCTTTTAAAGATAATATTTATGAATTTATATAAGGAAAAATGACAGAAAAATCTATTTAAATTATGTAAATGATAAATTAGTCCCATGAAATGCTATAATTCCCCTAGAGTCTTTAGAGATGTTTCTGTCATTAGAGAATTATAAGAAATGACACTTTTGTCCTTTATTTAAATTAAAAAAATTTACAATTTTACATTCACAACTTTTATTCATATATTAACTTTTATTTCTAAATTTACAACAATTTAATAGCTATTTGTAAGTCATAATCTACAAATCTTGATATGCATCAGGTATTAAAAATTTATAACTTTTCATTCACAACTTTTGTTTATATATTAACAATTTTTATTTTTAAATTCACAACAATTTAATAGCTATTCACAAGTCTTGATCTGCAGATCATAATATACATTAGGTGTTAAAAATTTATAACTTTTCATTCATAACTTTTGTTAATATATTAACAACCTTTGTTTCTAAATTTACAACAATTGAATAGCTATCTGCAGGTCCTGATATGCATAAGGTGTTGAAAATTTATAACTTTTCATTCATAACTTTTGTTTCTATATTAACAACTTTTATTTCTAAATTTGCAACAATTCAATATTCATTCACAACTTTGCATTGTAGGTCTCAATATGTATCATATGTTGAAAATTCACAACTTTCTATTTACAATTTTTGTTCCTATATTAACAACTTTTGTCTATAGATTCTCAACAATGCAATAAGGAATTATAATTTATCAGCATCTTATGTAAATTAATTGAATCAGCAAAAATGAATTACCACTCTAATTTAAAAAATAACAACTTTCATTAATTTAAGTGAAAAGAAAACCTTAAAAAGTGACAACTATCAAAGGTTTTGTTATCAGTTACATGATACATAATCTGCCTCAAAATACTCTACAATTCTTTTGACAAAAATATATGAAGGGTTGAATCTTCTAGTGTCATCAATATCTCTTCTCTTATCATTTTTATCCTCACACTCCCCTATCATATTATATTTTACCTTCAATATTTTTTACAAAATATCTCCCTATGTGAAATTATCAAAATAGTTCCTTTCCAAAATTAGAAATAAAAGAAGCTATTTCTTGTGCCAACCTGAAACAACAAAATAGTTATTCATCAACATGTCTATTTTTCAAACACCATAATCATTTATCTATTATGTTTTATCCAACAACAACTATTCTTCTTATATTCACAACTTTGTATTAGTTATTCACAACTTTGGTTTATGTATTTACAATACAACTGAAAAATGATACTCACTCTGTTAAAAAATATAAGGCATTTTTAATTAAATCTCACCCCCAATAAAGTAGTTACTTACTTTCAAACTAACCATATTTTTTCATATTTATCCTTATTAAATACCTTACAATAAATATAAATTTATTATCAATAGGGGCATTTTTGGAAAAAAAGGCAATGATTACATCTCAAAAAACTAAAATTGCATCACATTTTTTAATATTCAACTTCTCAAAAAAGGCTATACATTTTTTAACAGAGACAGTGTATCATTTATTATTTACCATTTATCCATGAGTAAGCATCTACACCCACGGATAGTAAAGAAAATGAAGACTTCAATCATTTACACATATTAACCCACATCAATTTCAACTATTATATATGGGAGGAGAAATTTTCAAGGAGGAGAGAAAATTTACCCATGTACAGCACAACTAACAAAGGAAGAATGATTGCTTACATATACTCATATACAGTAGCTCAACAAAACAAATCACTCACGTACAAAAACTCAAAAAGAAATAAGACAGACGAGAAGGAGAAGGAGATGGAGAAGGAGACAGACCAAAAGAAGAGTACAAAGAAGAGAAGAAGAGGAGAACAAAATGACGAAGCAGAGGGAAAAATTTACAAGAATGAATCCGCATTGATGCTTGGGATTTTTGTTTTGTTTAAGGGAAATTTGGTCATTTCTTTTAATTCCCTGATGATAGAAACATCCCATGGGACTCCAGGAGAATTATACCACGTGAGACCAATCTATCATTTATGTAATTTAAATGAATTTTTTTGGCATTTTTCCTTTATATAAAGTTTTCTTTTTTTAATTTTTTTTTTCATTTTATTTTTTCATAAAACATAAAATTTTTGCCATTAAAAAAATTCATGAAATTCACATATTCTCAACTTTAAAAAAATCCATTCTTATTAATTATTTTTGCAGTGATAACGATTGGCTATACAGGTTTTAAAAACTGAACTGGATCAGCCAATTTAATCAGGAATAGGTCACTAATCCAATTTAATTGATGCACGTGAACCGTGTGATCAGCAAACCGTTCAAAAACTAGCAAATTGAGTTGAAACAAAAAGATAAGCAAGAGCAAAGGAGATGCAAGGAAAAATTAAGAAGAAAAGTTATTTGGTGACAAACCATCATTCTAGGCGTGCTTCTATTGTTACTAAACTGTCAAATCTAAAATCAAATAGCCAGATCTAACGAAAATCTTCAACCTTGCTTGGAGAATCATGCAGTGACTGAGTAGAAAAGAAAAGAATAAAAGAACAACTAAGAAGACGAGGGTTTGTATAAGAGGAGGCAGAATTTCAATTGAAAAGGGAGGGGAAACTTACTTTACTTTCAGGTCAATGCAAAAGTTTTCAAAGAAAGGAATTCAGATTAATCTCATTAAATGCCTTTTACATTGCAAAAATTACTTTTATTTTTTTAACAAATTAAAAAATAAGTTATATAAAATAATTTATGAATTTTCTTTCAATTTAGTTAAATTTTTTTATTTAAATGTCATTTTTATAATTATATGTTGATTTTTTTGTAAATTTATATGTATATTATTTTAAAAAAATTAAATTAATCATATTGGTTGGACCACAGTTTAATCATGGTTGGATTATTAACTCTTGAACAAATACCTTGTTCAATTTAATAATAACTAATCTAATTTTTAAAACCTTGGTATGTATATATAACTACCGGCAGATGGTATTCAAGAGTGATATAATAATGTGATACTAATACATCACGCATTTATTTATATATCTTAATTTTGTTAAATACTTGAAATTGATTGAGGCCCACGAGCTAGGAGCCGAGAGTGAATAATTTTTTGATGCGGGGCAATTGTGTGACACCTTTTGCATCTGACTAAGTGTAAAGATACATTTTAACTCATGGAGTATTATTCGAGGAATACCTAGCATTCTAAATTATTTGGTGTAATATTTTTGCTTCTAAAGTAATTAAAATGTAGCATCTTTCACCTTGACATTAAATAATCATAAACGTCCATTAAATAACCAAGTTATCTTCTTTCATATCATATTAACGTTTAATGTTTATTATTTAACATTGGGGTAGGAAATGCTATATTTTAATTACTTTAAAAGCAAAAATGCTATATCAAATAGTTTAGAGTGATGGTTGATCCTTGAAGAATACTTCAAGTATAAAAATGTACCTTCACCTTATGATTTATATATCATCTATATACTTGTAATTAAAGCAATTTTTTGCATATAAAATAATAAAAAGTTCAACCTACAGAGAACAAGCAAGTCTGGCCGGACTTGCATGAGGGTGTGTGTATTTGTGGCAAGTCAAAAAAATTCTATAATATATACTACAATGGGAAGGATCCCTTGTGGTCCTTGAACTTGAATAGAGGGTGCCACTACCTAAAAAAAAAATTACTGTAGCCATTACATAGCAGCAGTTTCTGCAAACCGTTACAATTAACAAAAAATGTAATGGTATGAGTCCAAACTGCTATAATTTTTGTCACAAGTTGACCCGCACCATTTGGCGGAACAATCATAGCAGTTTTGGTTATGGTGTTCACGTTCAAAACTGCCACAGCCAATAGCAGCAATTTGTTTAAATTGTTAAAGGGAAAGCACGAAATGGCATGAAACCTTGGTAGCGGCTCATGTCACTAAACTGCTACAACATTTGTGATAGTTTATGGCTAAACCGCTATCAAGTTATCTTGCTTAATGGATAATCATATAGAATGGTAGTTTGCATAGTGGTTCAAGTCCATACCATTACAAATTTTAAAGTGCATTAATGACAGTCATATCTTGACATTGAAAATGAGTAGCGGTTCTTGCACAAAACCGCTACCAAAATTATAGGGTCTTGTTTGATATGCAGATCTCAATTTAGAGGAATTGAAATTAAGATTAGGATTAGGATTGAGATTAGGAATGAGAGTGGAAATGAAGTTTTAAAATTATGTTTGGTATGAAGTAATATTAGGAGGGAATACTTACTTTTATTTTATTTTATAATTAAATAAAAATATAAAAATACTATATTACCCCTCAAAATATAAATTGAATATTTATGTCATTATCATTAAACACTTTCCTCCCCCTAAAACAGAACATCCCAGAAGAAATGCTTCCACTGGTTATCCTCATCGTC